TTCCTCAGATGTGGCCTTTCTGAACGTGGGATGTGGTGATTGGTCATGTTCACGTTTACCTTAAAAGTCAATTAGTAAAAGAGAACTGGGCATCTTTCGAAATATAGCTTATAAATCTATGTCAATCTATGAATTAGGGACACGTGCTTACTGTTTTGACTTGAAGATAGATTGCAACTTCCCAAGATGCACCGGGCATTTAGTTGTGAGCGGTGCTAGAGATGTCAATTTTTTTATGTTGTATTTTATAGATTGAATGATGTGCAGTTGATAGTTTGATTTATTTTTAAATTATTAATAACATAATTTAATTATCAACCATCATTTTGTGTTTATAAATATGGTCTAAAAAATATGGATAATTTTATAAAGGTAAAATTTTATAAATAAAATTTGTAAACCAAATAATGTGGTTGTAGATGATTGAATTATTATTAAAATATCGATTAACCTGCTTGTTTTTTGTTGGTGACACATTATTTAGTTTACAAATTTAATTTAAAAATTTAGTCTTCCTAGTATTAGCCCAAAAAATATCTCTATCATTTTCTTTATATTTGTGATTCTCCAACTTTCTCGCTACTTTATTGACACCTATTTTCAAAACTTTGGCTCTCCCTTCATTGACTATATATAAGAGAGCAATTCATGCACTTATACGACCAACCTTGTTTCTCATTGACCATAACCTATATATAGAAAGCAATTCATGCACTCATACGACCAACCTTGTTCATCATGTGGGTTAATTCTGCATCAAATTAAGCTCCTCCAAAGCCATTAAATCTTCGAAGGTACTCCAACTTTGTTGATCATTTACAATTTTATAGTGATACTGTGATTGTTATATTTGGTTGGAAAGCAGTAATTATTTAGAGTAATGTTAAGGAGATCGTCTATTTAAACTATATCATGTAAAGCATGTGACATGATTATTAATAATTAAATTATTATTTAAGTTTTTAATTAACGTATTTATTTTATATTGGTAATACATCACATTTATGATTTTAAAAGATGAAGAAACATTTTAGTGTGCCGATAACACAGCTCGGTACACTAAGTGTAATAATAAGATTAATTAGAAATCTGAATATTATATTCAACAAGATAAGCAAAATGATGGTTTTTTTTTTTTTTTTTGGTTAGAATAGGCAGAAGGATGTTTGCTTATTGATAAACTGTCGGTTTTTCTTTTACGATTAGATATCAACCCGTCCGATTTCTTTGTTTGACCGGAGGACATTCTGTCCAACGGTAAGAACGGCAAGCCATTAGATTCTCTGAAACATATTTTAACTTTAAAATTATTTCTGTTAAAAGCAATTTAATCATTTAAATTATTTTTCAGACAAGGCCTTGATCATTTGGCAGCAGCTCGGTTTTCTCACGTGTAACATCAAAAATCTTTATATATATATATATATATATATATAGACCCATATGCGCAATATTAACTTGTCAATTACATAAATAACTTTACTGGTGATATCTTTCTAAGTTAATTAGCTAGAATAGAATGTGTGTATAAAAAATAGCAAGAATGTGTCTTTTTGGCTCAAAATAGCTAGTATGGATTTCAATCTTTGATATATTAATAATCTTCGTATGGGCGGACTCATTCACTGGCAAGTGTGAATTGCCTACTTAGACTTCGAAAAAATCTACCTACTGGATCAATTTTTTCTCACCTAGTAATTGAGCAAGGTGGTGGCTCCGGTTTGCGAATCTCCTTCACAAAACCAAAACCACAACTACAACTACAACCACAACCACAACCATTTTTTTTAGGAAAATTAATGAAAAGGGTTTGAAAATTTTGAGTTTTAACGATAATGACAAAATAAAGGGTAAAGTGAATAGTATCATAATTGACTTTTTAATATAAAAATATGGTTTTTCGTTAAAGTGAACAGATGGCTTCTATCAGGAAGGCGGCGCAAAGGAGGCTCGAGGGCTTGTTAAGGAAGGCAACAGGGGCCGACGAAGGGGGGAAAACAAAATGCGTTTTCTGGTCCCCCCTGAGCCGGGGGGTGCTTGTGGGGGGGGGGGGTGTGCCACGACGAAACAAGGGAATTTAAGGCTGCTTTGCGTTGGATGCCGATAACTTTTTGTTAAAATTCCCTATTTATTATCTGTTTCATTTTAAGAAAACTACATTAAGATTTTATTTTTCACATTTATAAAAAAAAATCTTGACTCTATTACTACTTCGTAAGAATAAAAACCATAAATACACACTTACAGGTTATCACCTAACTAAGTTAGCGGTGAAGAATAGTTGAAAGAGTAGTAATTTGTGGCATTTTTCTTTGCATGCATTTACCACGAAAATTTCAGCCTCATAAATCCTCTGGTTTGTTGACTAGTCAAAGCGCTTGTATTGTATGCGTGTAGGGTTATATCAAACCAAACACTGATCTGTACACTAGGTTGTTTTGTTTACATGACTCAACCCTATATATATATATATATATATATATATATATATCAAACTCCGCCACCATTAAAAGTCACGGATGTAGTGACTTTTATATCTTTAAAAACTCTCATACCCTCTCTTTTCTTCTTCCAACTCCTACCATTGCATAACAATGTGTCAAATGGGGCCGGTCGTGCCTCCACATTTTATCTTCTTCGCTTTTGTGAGTTACTGTACTCGGCGTGGCAGTAAGATGACTCTGTTTGAGTTGATCATACTTAGCTTGACACTAGTCTTACATGGATTATGTCATACTTTTGTTTGTGTTGAATAACATCGCCCAAATTCGCCCGCTTCATATCGATTTCAAGTTGTGCCATAGTCTACCCTTAATTATAATTAAACGTTAAAAACACTATAATAATTACATAAGGGTTAGAATCTGGCAACATACTTTTGACACCAATTTTGTAAGGGTGTACTTTGTAATGCATTTCAACGATTCGAACATGTTCTTATTTCGTTCTTATTTTGAACTGTTTATATTTTAGTACATCATTCATAGATCATCCTTACAAAAATTAGACAAATCCAAAATCATTAAGACATTTATTTGTAGTGAATTAGAAAGTCAATGAACACGGTTCTACAAAGAAACACTAAATTTACTTCAACGGTCATATGATTTTAGATTTGGGTGAGTTTTGATAAACATGATCTTTGAGGTAAGACATAAAAAATAAACAATTCAGATCGTTAAAATACATTACGAAGTTGGTCATGCGTAAAAGACGTGTGTTCCCAAATCTTAACTCGTTAATCATTATTTAATCAACATTATGAAACATGAATCATTCTAAATTTTTATCCACTGCCGTCGATGTTTTTATCATGCATTATTTTCATATGTGTTTCATTTTCAAGTTTGATTTTTCTTTAGCAAGTAGCATCATCAATGTGTAGACAAAATGCGAAACTAGATATGCCCAAATGCATGCATATGAATTATGAAATATACATATGCCAAGTTCAAATTCACCCATATGCTGGTGGGATCCAGTTCCCCTCCTTGAGAACCTCTAGTAAGTCCCACATGTAATGCATGACCCACCACTAAAATTCGTCTTGACTAATAAATCAGACTTTTATATAATAATTTTTCTTTTGTTTTATGAGAAATAATTTTTTCTGTTCTTGAATGCCTTATTTATCACATTTATTATGACAAAATAAATTACTACAATTTCTTTTTTACTGAAGATTGCATTTTTTTAATTCTCCATAAATTATTTTTTGAACAACATATCTTTGTTAGATATAGTTCTCGATTTCACGTTAGTTTTTTTATTGTCTTTTTTAGCACATTCAACAAAAAAAATTAATTTCTTATTTGGCATATAAAATAGAAAGTTGAATGTTATTTTGAAAAAAAAAAAACAACGTTGCAAGTGGTGAATCGTTCTGATAGACAAGTTTTTTCTTCAAACACTATGTATTGGGTTTCAAACCTCTCTTTATAATTTAAATGAATTTAAAGCAAAACATATATATTTTTAATTTAATTACATGAAAATAATACTGCAAGGAGAAGCACGCGTAGTAATTTTGTAGTGTACAAGATATACATGCATATGATGTTTTTATTTTACTTAATTATATCTTGTCAATATATTTATTTTATTAATATACTACAAACGTAAAACATATGAACACTACACTCTTATAAAGAATGTTATACAGACAAACTATTTAAATCAATTTTATAAACCATATGACATAATTGTTGACTATTGATTTATTACTTACTTGTTAATTAACATGTTTATTTAGTATTGTTGACGCATTACATGATTTACAAATTTGGTCTAAAAACTTAATTTACATATCATTCCTCCACTACGCGTGAAACTATAACTTGAATAAATTTTAACCACCAAAACAACAAATAATCTACTAGAGTTGGGGACACAATACTTGACGGGATGATATCCGACTTGTCACATTGCCATCCCTATATAATAGAGACTATGCACGCAAAATCGAAACTAATAGTTGTATTACGTTAGATTGCACTTCCTCCACGAAACATAGACAAAAACCGCTACGATAGGTTTGGAAGGCTTAGTGCCTAGATGTCTAGACAGGGCCTAATCGATTTTTATAATTTTAATTAAATTTATTATAAATAAGTATCTATTTATATTTAGAAAATACATAATTGTATTGTGATACACAAATTCTATAGAATAACATTCAGATTATAAAGTATTAGAACATAATGAAAAATATGAGAGACAAGCATATAATAATTGTTCATCCACGTATTCAATATGTCTCTTACAATTTATTAAAAAAATAAATACAAAATAAAAATTGTCGATTTAAATTACATTTGTAAACTAAATAATGTGGTTGTAGATAATTTGATTATTAATTAAGTATTAATTAACATGATTATTTCTGAATGAAGCTATATCAATTCGATTTAAAAAATTTGAACTCTTTAATGATACCCTATCATATCACATTCAATCATACATCACTTCTCTTCTAATTGGTCGGGCAACAAACACACTCCCCAAGAACACTTGCAGTTACCCTCTGCCACTCCATTGCCAGCAATTTCCATCTCGGTTAAAAAATTGGAGTTAAAATATAACAATTAATACATGTGAAGAAATATCGTTAAGTCTATGTTGAATCATCATCTGGCAGGCAGTGGCAGAGACAAATATATTCTTTTCTTTCTATTTTCTTTTATCTCTTCTCCCTGTAGTTTTTGCTGGAGTTAGAAGAAGACATTAATATAGCAGCAGCAGCAGCAACAGCAGCAGAAGAAGATAAGCTTGTGGGGTTGTATACGTTGATGGAGGAAATGTACGGATTGCAATCAACGGCCGACTATGGGGACAAAGGGTTTGAATCAACGACGGAGTACGATGACAGGGGGGCGTTGATGACTCCGGAGAATCTGATACTGCCGCTGGATTACCACAGCCTTCTGCACTCGTCCGTAGCCTTCCTCGAGCACAATCACCATCAACATCAACGGGAGGCGATGTTCGGATCGAACGACATCGTGTTGTACTCGGCAGCGTCAGAAGCTGCTTCGACGATAATCGCGCAACGCGAGGAGGACGTGTTCGGCGCCATCAAAACCAGAATCGCGTCTCATCCGACGTACCCTAGGCTCATTCACGCATACATCGAGTGCCAGAAGGTGAACAAATACCTAATTAATTATTATTTAATTAGTATCAACTCTTGTTAATATCAGGATTTGTGAATGCTTTATTATTTGTGTGATGTAGGTTGGGGCGCCGCCAGAAATAGCGAGTTTCTTGGACGAAATCCGACGAGAAAATGGCTTGTACAAAAAGCAGGGAGACTACTCATGTAATTCTAGTTCGATGTCGTCCTCCACATGTTTGGGAGCCGATCCCGAGCTCGACGAGTTCATGGTCCCCCCTTCTCTTTGTTTCTCTTTATTCTTCTTACTAATTTTTATTGTCTTTTAATCTTAATTTTTTGTTTATTGTTTCTTGTCTCTCCGTTGTTTATAGGAAACCTACTGCGACATTTTGGTGAAGTACAAATCAGATCTATCCAGGCCTTTTGATGAAGCCTCCTCTTTTTTGAGCAAGATCGAAACGCAACTCACAAACCTCTGCACTTCATCATCTGCTCATGCCTCTTCCTCCGTTAGAACCCTCTGCGGTCAGTCTCTCTCTCTCTCTCTCTCTCTCTCCGATGATGATTATGCGAGCGGCCCACTTACTGAGAACTATGAAAACATATGCATGCTCGCATAATTATGGACGTTTTTTTATCATATATGTGTGTGTGGCAGTAATGATACAAACAAACACCTAGGTAGCCACAAAAACCCTAGTACCTCTACAACGGAAAGAGACCCTTCCGTCTTATACTTATATTTGCCAAAGTTTTTAGTAATGCTAGCTCTTCTTCGGAATTCTAATCTGGAAACGGTTCATTGTTATATCTTATAATCGCCTGCCTTCTCTCTCTCTCTCTCTCTCTCTAGCTACGCATTTTGTGCCTGTGTCTGTGTTTCTAAATTCCATCCTGGTTGTTTGTTGTCTGTTATGTTTGTTTCCTTTTTCACCTTCTTTATCTCATCAGTTTTTACTCAAAGACGCCATATAAGAACCAGCTTGAAAAGCAAAATCTTTTCTTTTTTGTTTCAAAGATTCTGACTTTGACGTTTCAGAGATTTGTAGTCTCATCTCATGACACTCCAATAGTTGTTTGATTGTTTCATACAGTGCCCCTTCAAATGTTTCTATGTTTCTTTTTTATAGTATAGCGCCCTTCTTAACTTAGTCTTTTTCACATGCTCATAATCTATATCAATAATCCCTAATCATGGTTCTTTTTTTTTTCCCTTTTCTTTCATTCTTTGACATGTTCAGTTCCAAGTTGAAACTCATGTAATCTGGATTGTCAACTTCATACCATGCATGACCTAGAAATTAGTGATCATGATTGATAATTACCTTATGTAGTGCATGCATGTTAATTTTAAGTTGGATGATCTTGTTAGGAGCTTCCATATTACAGTCAATACATATTTGTATATATTTTATGGATGTTGCATTTGCTGAATATGACTAAAGTGATCATACAAAGTTGGTGGCAAATGTGTACTGAATAGATCAGTTTATTTCAAGGGTAATGTTATATATAAACTAAATGTGTAGATGAAATTTTATTTGATGGTTGAATTATTATTTAAGTATTGATTAAGATGTATATTTTTTTATTGATGATACATCATTTAATTTACAAATTTAATCTACCTCACATTACTCTTATTTCAAAAAACAAAAAATCAGAAGAATCGTCCTTGTAGTTTTTGTTTTGTTGTGATTGTTGAGCAAGTGTGAGGTATCTGAACAGTGTTGTAAAGATGGTATGATAAGTCATTTCATGGTATAGTAGCAGTAGCTCAGCTTTAACGTAAAGGGTTCATATCGACTAGAGTTGTGTAATCTACACTCTTATTTTTATCTCTCACACACCTTTCTTAACTATTAACTATTAAAGTAAATGAATTAAAGAAGAGTAAGGGACAAAATTTAACAAAGTGTGAGAGGTAACATTTACTGATGGATGTATCAGTGTGACTGTATAAAGGATTGACATGAATGTTTAGGGGAATTGATAAATATTGTTCATGATCAGCAGTGGGGAAGCTTGGCATAAGTAATTAAATATTATACCTATACCCTTAAATTCTTTTAAGAAAATGCACCTTGTAGATTTAAAGATCACAAAATTAGAAATAGGAGGAAAATTAAGGGTGGTTTAATATTATTTATTTTTCAGTTTATTTATTTAATGTTTTGAAATTTGAAAAGTTTGGGGAGATATTGTTCATGATCAGCAGTGGGGAAGCATTTGGCAACTGTTCTTTAGTTTTTCATTTTTAGCCTAATTTTAGTTTTCAGTTCTCAAATGGGCAAGAAAATTGTTTCAAATTGCTTGTTATGTGATATATGCCATGCAATGTTACTATATATGCGCTTTTGGTTTAGAAATCTTTTGAAACTTGTGCATAGTTATAAAGTTTGGGGGATATAGATCTACTGTTAGTTTTATCCTCCTATTTGCGTTTTTAAAGTAATGTAGTTTTATTCACAAAACGTAATTGTTATGAATATTTGTCAAGTTTATTTGTTAGAAGTGTTAGACCACTCAACTCAACTGATATCTTAATCAGAGACAATTTAGGTATGACAAGTAATGATGTGTAGTCAGGTTCCTTATTGATTCTCAAGTTCCAATACAGCAAGAGTAGTACTTGCATGCAGCAAAATTTTAATTATATGACATAGTTGTTAATGATGAAATTATTATTTATATGTTAATTATCATGTTTATTTTTTATTGTTGACACATCGTAAAGTTCACAAGGTCTAAAAATTGGTATAGCTAACTTTGAATATTAAAGAAGGATAGAATCAAATCTATCTGTACTTCCCTTGGCCATGATCTTTAGGAAGAAAAGTGGATTAGCTAGCTAGCACATATAGGAATATTACTAATAATCACGTGAGTGCATATCATACACTGCCTTCGGAATTTATTTTTTATTTTTTATTTTTTATTGTTATCATGATCTGCTTTCTGTTCTTTATAACTTCCCATCCCTTTGCCTATGATAACAGCCAAAAAATTAACAAGATCTAGACTTTAGTACAAATCATTTTGTCTCAAGAAATGATTTCTTCACACAATTTTTGCACACCCGTCCTCTTGTTCAGTCATTGAATTGAACAAATAAAGCCGTATCAAGGGCCATAATTACAAAACGGTGTGCATAAATTGCTGATCTTGTTGATAATATAAGAAGAGTTCCTTTTGTTATTCCATCACTTATTTGAGCAAAGATTTGTACATTTAAGCATCTCAATCAGAGTAAAACTGTGGTTACTTCCATTTGCACGAGCGTGGAGCTTGTGCAACCGGAATGCAAGTAGCAGCCTTAGACATTGAAAAAGGGTGGTGGATGATTAGAAATCTCGTTATCTTTGGTGAAGTGTCATCGTAATCTTATAGGTTATGATTCGCAAGTATTATTGTTTTTTATATGAAAGTACATAATACCTTTTCAGCGATGTGGTTTCATATTTAATTCGCCTCGTGCTCTCACTGCTGCATCAGTAGATTCTTTAACGAATTACCCGAATGAAAAGGTAGAGAGGTAGAACATTTCTTAAGCATGCGACCATGGCAGACGTTCAGTTGGACATAAACATAATATTGGCATATATTCACGTGGTTTCGTGGCTTTATCTTGTTGGCTCCTGCATTTGTAAAAATCTTGTTTTAGGTTTTTAATTCAAGACTATCCGATTAGTGTTTGGTTGGAATTTCTTTATTTTTAAATGTTCTCTTAAAGTTTCTGTGTTCTTTGAACGTTTTTCATGCATTATGGTACTCAAACGGTTTCTGATCGATTAAAGTCTAGCTACTAATCTTTTAATCCCAAAACTTTCGCATGCACCATCGAGTAAGTACTCGTACCAATATATCATATACTTTGAAATTTTCAAATAGCTAGGGTAACGTTAGGGAGACAAAATTTGTAGACAAAATTTACAAACTAAAAGATTTGTCACTAATAACATAACAATTAACTTTTATATCATTTAGTTTATAAACTTTTGTCTATAAATTTAATCTTTCTAACATTATCCTTTCAAATATATTCTAGAAGGATAGTTCAATGATTCACTTGTTTAGTTGAAGATACTTGAGTTGTTTTCAACTTTTCATTGATTTGACGTTTGAGCTTATTTGCAAGTAAACTGTGTTGATCTTACTTCGCACTTTGCATTTAACATATGTAGCCATAGAATATTGCTGATTTCTTATTCTATAAATTAGGCTTATGATCCGTATCTTTATTTATGTTGCCTTACATGATGCTTATGGCATGAGAGCAAAGCTTGTCACTGTGCTATATTCATTCATAGCACTAATAGAAGGTTAATTACTGGAAGTCTTGAGATAGCTTTAGGCCGAACAAGTGACGTTACTATATACAAGAAGCATAATTCTGGTGTCCGCGTTGCATGTTCTCATGGTTTCGTTGTGTCTAACTTTCCTCACACATAACTTGAGAAGAGAGAGTGACGCAATCATACTCTGGTGTTCCGGACTTCCAGTAGCATATTCTCGTTGTGTCATCGTTTGTTCGTCAAAGCATAGCATGAGAAGAGACTCTGTGTCACAGACTTGAGCTTTTTTGCTTTCCTTTTCTTTTTTACGTGCTTTTGTCTTCGTTGTTGTATTGTATGCTGCCGCATCCAAGTAAGTTAGACGGTCGAATACAAGCTTACCCATTGGAAACTTGAATGTAACTTGGATTATAGGTTAGTCTCTCTATACCTAACAGAAGACCTTTAAATTCCCCATATTTTGTTTGTTCATCTGGTAAAAATGGTGAGGGGTATTATGGAGGACTGGATAATAAAAATTACTGCTACTGCTACAACTGCATATGCAAGAAGGAAGGAAGAGAACTTTATAGAAAAGCCCGGATCGAGGGGGTGGTCGAAGTTTTCTCCACACATTCGCATGTGGACTCCCGCAGTTTACGCCGAGAGCAGCTTTTATGTCTTTCAACTCTCTCTCTCTCGCTTTGTTCTGGCCAGTACTGCCACTTGTGTTAAGTGCTAGTCATTTCCATGGACGGGCATCTCTTCCCGCTGTGGGTCTTTGCGTTTCATTATTGCTTCACACGTGTCTGCTCACTACGTGTACTTTTGAGTGGCATCGGGGCCCCCTGAAATTCAATCCTTTCCGCTGCACCAAACCCTATCACATCCCTTTTCTTTTAACTTCCAAGGGCATGGAAATGACTTGGGTGGAAAGTATTCTTTCTAGCTGGGGCGTCTCAAATTATTAATACAAGATATTGTAGCATTTTATGTTACGAATATAAGATCATGCGGAAAATGTCTTGCACATTATGTTAGTTATTCGAAATGTCACGGTGGATATTAACTGTGATCGTTTCCATGGCATTTACTAACTGGATACCTAAACATTGAGGTGTATGAATGGATAGATTTTTGAGTGTGACTGATAAATAATGTGGTACATCATGTGTCATTATACAAATAGTGAGATATGTGTGTTAAAAAACTAATAACTTAAAAAATAAATTTTTTAACACTTCTATTAAAACACGCGATATACTACTTGTATTCCTCTTACGATTAAAAATTTCTCGTGTGAATGTCCAAAGGAGTGTTTTACTGGGCATCTTCTAGGGTTTTTCCTTAAAGTTCATCATTCTGTTTGGTCACCGACTTTGCCCACCCACTCACACATGCACGTTTGTGTGGTTTGTGTCAGTTCTGATTTGATTGAGGGCCCCGGCTGTCTTGTCCATTCTGAGTCTGACATTGTTGTTTCTCCTTCTCTCTAAAGTCTTAATCGAGATATGTAGAAAAAGAATGTGATATACGGTCTATTTTATTTTTTACATATTTTTTTTAATTTTTGATCGTTGGAGGATAAATTGAAGAGATAAAAATTAACAAAAAGAATATAAGAAGTAAAAAAATATGTGGATAGCATACTCCTAAACAATATTATTGACTAAAAAATTCTCAAGTGTTTTGAAGTTTTTGATATTTTGAGTATTTTAATTTTTTATACATTTTAATAGAGGTCTAATGTTAAAATACCGAATGAGGATCTCCTCTAGATCATCTTTGCGAGGATTTCAAAGATTTTCTAATCAAATTCGTTTATCGTAAATCGTGCGGTTAGTTTTCATCAAATATTATTTATATTTAATTATAAATAAAAAAATTATAATATTTTTAATCGTATGATATATGAAAAACGGATGTAATTGAATGATTCTTGGATCCTTACAAAGAAGATCCGGAGAGGATCCTTATCCTAAAATACCCAGAATACGCGGGTACTTTGAAGCACCCAAAACAGTCCCCTACCCACACCCTCTGTGAAAGAAAGAATGGCACCCTGTACTGTAGTGCCTTGGCAAACGAGTTCATGGTGTTGATCTTTAGGACAAAGAAAAGGTTCATGGTGTTGGTCCTTCTTCCGTTCTCTTTTTACTTTTTAATTTTTTTGGTGATATGAATTGGAGAAAGATTTCCTTGTCGCGGTACACTGCTACTGTTGTATTAAGTGGATCATACTGTGCTAGGTTTAATTTTTTTATTTCACAACCGGTTTTAGATATTGACGGTGACGGTACTATAGAAGTTACTCTTAATCCGTAGTCACAAATTTAAGTATGACACTTTTAGATAGTCACCTATACGTAATGCTTGTGCTTCAGAGTAAACTTGAAATCTATATCCCATTTGGGAAGTTTTGATATGAGAACAAAGAAATCACGTATGTTTTATTTGCACATTGTTATTTATGCATTGCAATTGTCTACCTCGTAAAATCTACTAGTTTGTTTTCCCCAAGATGTAACGTTAGTACAACCCTCTGCTGAGAAAACAACATTGACTAGTGTAGTGGTATTACATAGCACCCTATTATCTCGATCGAAATGGATTTAATGGTTTAATTCATATAACCTGATGGACAATGTTGGTGATCAGATGAAGGTGGTGGCATGTCATCGGATGAGGATTTCAGCGGAGGCGGAATAGATGTGCAGGAAGCTCAACAAGGAGGTGAAGATCGAGATCTCAAGGATCGGCTTATGCGTAGGTTTGGCAGTCATCTCAGCACCTTGAAGCTCGAATTCTCCAAGAAGAAGAAGAAAGGAAAGCTGCCTAAAGAAGCAAGGCAAACGTTACTTGATTGGTGGAGTACGCATTATAAATGGCCCTATCCAACGGTACTAAACCTCTCTTCTCACGTTATAACACTTAGTTTTATAACACCACGTGACGTTACAGTCACACCTCAGTATTTTTCTCATCTTCACCTAATAACAATGTTTGACAATCAAAATGTGGTTGTTTAGTTTCTTCCCTTGCTTTAATCTCATTCAGGAGGCTGATAAGATTGCACTGGCCGAATCAACGGGGCTAGATCAAAGGCAAATTAACAACTGGTTTATTAATCAGCGTAAGCGTCACTGGAGACCATCGGAGAACATGCAGTTTGAGGTGATGGATAATCTTACTGGACCATTCTTTACAAATGAATGAGGTGCATGCATGTATATTCTCTCAAATGCTTAATTATGCTTCTTTTCCTGATAATTTATGTGTACATGATCTGGAAAATGCAAACTTTACTGACATTCGTCAATTACCCAATCTTCAAGATGATTAGGGGGATTTGATTGTAATTTGCTTCAATGTATACTCTATGGAATTTGACCACGGTTGATAATGAATGAAATGCTTACATACCCTTGCTATCACTTGCAAATGATCTGGGCTCAAAACGCAAAACTCTTATTAATAAGTGCAAATATGAGCTTAACCAAGTTTACTAGAATAACGCTCTCATTCTTTTGCGCTCAAACTCGGATTTTGATATCATAGTTTAGATAATTCAGTGCAAAATATAACTTATATTGAAGAAGAAAAAAAAAAAAAACCCTAATATGTAGGCCCTAAAAGGTATACGAACTATAATCAACCAAGAAAAGTGATTAAAAGCCATTTACATTTTCATTTGATTTATTTTTCTCTTGCAATTATTGTTAGAGGCTATGAGATCGAATATTCACTTTATTGATCAGAAAAAACCAGGTGGAATATGTTTACTTATATAGAATGAGTACTGATGTGATTTTGATTGTTGACCTTCTAAGTGTTTATGAACACATAGAAATTAAACAAAGTGTGGGTTTTCACGTAACAATCCATATTCCAATAGTTCACAATTTAGGCATGTCAATTCCTTCTTTCCTTCTCCAATTCATGACTTCCTCATTCAAGTAACTAGACACGTCATAAAATTTTGAATAACAAAGCGGTTTATGATTGGTGGGCCCATGTCAAGCTACACTTCTAATTTGAGTCCATGCATCACTATTGGGCTTAGGCAGATATTGCTTACCAACATTGGGCTTACTTTGGAACCGACGACCCATAATTTACCGGATTCCAACTTTCATGAATCGGGCCCTCTTATCCGATCCCTGATCTCAGAACGCGCGTCTACCCGTTGTTGTTTCAGTAACTGACGCTAACTGTCATGGCTTCGCTCTTCCGTTCTCAGCCGGTCAGCGCCTACCCAGTTTTCGGTTCAGACGCAGTCCGGTCCGGTCCTCCAGGACCTCCACCGCACGCCAGGCGCTCTTCAACCGCATTGCCCCTGTCTATGATAACGTTCGATTCTCTCCTCTCTCTTTTTTTTCTTAAATTGTAGTGTCACTTTTTCTTTCTTTGTTAATATTTATACAGTTTTTAGCTAAATGATTTGTTGAGCTTGGGTCAGCATCGAATATGGAAAAGAATGGCAGTTTTGTGGAGCGGGTAAACATTAAAATTAACATTTTTTTTTGGCTCTATTTTTGGGTGGAATATATATATTTGGGTCCCCGAATTTCAAGTTTTTGAATTTTGGGTTGCAGAGCAAAAATGGGAGCGTTTGTGTTGGATTTTTGCAGTGGAAGTGGGGATTTAGCGTTTCTCTTATCTGAGAAAGTTGGCTCCAATGGCAAGGTTTGTTCTTTGTTGTAATTGGCCTGAAAGATTGGTAATTTAATTTTAATATGAGCTGATGTTTGTGATTGGGATAGTAAAATTTGGCTGCATTGGCAGGTGATTGGTCTCGATTTCTTGAAAGAGCAGTTGTCAATTGCTTCGTCGCGGCAAAAGTTGAAGTCGAAAGCCTGCTGCTTGAACATTGAGTGAGCACTGGTAAATCTAGTGGTCAATCAACTAAAAATGTTTGAACTTTAACTCATGATGTTAGAAATGTTTTGTTTTATTATGTGAAACTCTTTAATAGATACTAAATTACTGATCAGCATTACATTACTGAGAATAATCGATCATGTTATGCATTGCATCTTGTTAGGTGGGTTGAAGGTGATGCAACTGATTTGCCGTTTTCTGACCGTCACTTTGATGCCATCACTATGGGTTATGGGCTAAGAAATGTAGTAGACAAATATAAGGCCATGGAGGAAATGTTTAGAGTTTTGAAAGCAGGTTCCATTCTCTCGCTTTCGATTGATGATGATGTAGTCCTGGGTAGGTCACTTTTTTCTCATTTTTCCTCGGCATTACAGGCTCGAGGGTATCAATCCTTGATTTCAATAAAAGCACCAATCCAGTTGTGTCTGCAGTTCAGGTACTCAACCAGATACAATAAGTTTTTGCCTTGTAACGCGTACACCAATTTCCCGTTATGTTTTATTGTCGCAGACAAGTGCTGAATGCTTCAGGAACTTTTGCTAGGAATTGATGATTGACAATCTTGTTGTCCCAGTGGCTTCTGGTTTTGGACTTGAGGAGGATTACAAGTATTTAAAGAGCTCAGTCATGGCATTCCTGCCAGGTGCATTTTCCTCGCTTTAACTCTTTATTTTTATGGCATATGCACCACACGATATTTCTATCTGTTTAAGCTCTCTTTGTACTATTGTGTTTATACGTTGTATCTTCAAATTTCATGAAATCTTGGGAATTGTTCTGTTTGGAGGCCTTTAGGCATGGCCTTAATAAATGGTTAAGTGGATAATAGGTTACTAGTTTGTTGATTAAAATCTTTTTGTGAACACAGGGGACGAGTTGGAGAACCTGGCTTTAGACGTAGGTTTTTCCAATGCCAGATATTATGAGATTGGCAGAAGCCTCATTGGGAACTTAGTAGCCACACGATAGTTTGATTCATGTATATGCTGTTTCAAATTGTGTCTTAGTGAACACAAAGTATGTGCCTTCGGGAAATAAGAAAAATGTTGTGCCTCATACATTTCTTTTCAATTATTCTTTCATAGTTGTGAACATCAATCTTTAAGACCATTTCTGATGATCAATTTTACTTCTACAAATGAGAACAAAAATATTGCTCACTGTCTGGCTCTGAAAACTGAGAAAAAATATTTTATTTTTTTTGATCTCTGGCTCAACCATTCTCACTATATCTACAAATCCTCGAATGCCATTTGTACTTCGTCTCAGTTACTCAAACTTGACGTATTCTCTGACTGAGCTGAGCAGGGGCAAGTAGCAGCCTGAGATTCCTCAGCTCCTTCATAGGAGAACTTAGTTGCAAGCCCTGGAATTTTTGAAACCTTTCGTTTTTGTTAATATGTATGCAGATATATCAGATAGAGAGAATTATCAAGAACTTAGAGAGAGAAAGTAAGAAGAGAGAGAGAGATGAATATCTTGTGTTGAATATTACTTACTCATGAAGTCATTACATTTAGACTTATATAGAAGCTCAAATACATGTAACAAACTAACTAACTAAATGCACAATCTATTGACAAGTGTCATAATCCCACACACTAATATATATCCTAATATCCCCCCTCAATCTTAGGTTTGGATGAACCAAGTATGAGATTGGTACAATGAGACCGAAACAAAGGAGAACTAAGTCCTTTTGTTAGTATATCCGCATACTGCTCCCTGGAAGATACAAATTGAACCATGAGACGATGTTTGGCAACCCGTTCACGCACAAAATGAACATCTATCTCAATGTGTTTCGTACGCTGATGTTGAACAGGATTGAAGGACCAGGCTATGGTGGACAAATTGTCACAAAAGAGAACTGAAGCTGTTGGAAGTTTGATGTGCAAAAACTGAAAAGCTGTTGGATCCAATCAAGTTCAGCGGAAGTGGAAGACATAGCCCGATATTCCGCCTCTGTAGAGGATTGTGACACGGTATTCTGCTTCTTAGATGACCAGGAAATGGGATTGCCACCTAAAAACACAATTAAGCCCGTTGTAGATCTTCGATCATTAGGGTTGCTAGCCCAATTTGCATCACTAAAAGCTTTTAACTGTAAGTCACTAGCAGAATATGATATACCAAAGGTCATAGTACCCTTTAAGTATCGCAATATTCTCTTGACTGCAGTGTAGTGAGAAATCATAGGGGCTTGCATAAACTGACACACTTGATGAACAGAAAAAGCAATATCCGGTCTGGTGAAAGTAAGATACTGCAATACACCTACTATACTTCGATAAGCTGCAAGATTGTTAAAAGGAGAACCATCATCCTTGAGTAATCGATTGTAAGGCAAGCAAGGTGTATCACACGACTTGCAATCAACCATTTCTGATTTCTGTAATAACTCTTGTATATACTTGGTCTGAGACAAGAAAAAACATGTACCAATTCGATCAATTTGGATGCCAAGGAAGTAGTGCAGATTTCCCAGATCTTTAATATCAAATTCAACTGTAAGAGAGTCAATGACTTGTTGAATGACAGAAAAAGCACTGCCGATGACAATTATGTCATCAACATAGAGTAGTAAAATCACAATCTCAGTACCAATATGCTTAACAAACAGAGAAGAATCAGCATAAGTGGAAGCAAAACCAAGAGAAGGCAGAAAATTGGTGAACCTTTCATTCCATGCCCTTGGGGCCTGTTTCAAACCATATAAAGATTTGTGCAGTTTACATACAAACTCAGGATGAGTTGGATCTTCAAACCCCGGAGGCTGAGCCATATATACCTCTTCGTGTAACAAGCCATGTAAGAAGGCATTTTTAACATCGAGCTACCTTAACGACCAATTAAAATGTGCAGCCAAAGCTAGTATTAATCGAATAGTAGTAGGTTTGATGACAGGGCTAAAAGTTTCCCCATAATCCAGTCCAGGTTCTTGACTAAAGCCCTTGGCTACCAGCCGAGCTTTATGCCTGGAAATAGAACCATCAGAGTTCTTCTTAAGCTTGAAAATCCATTTGCAGCCCACTAAGTTTTTTCTGAAAAGGTAATGGAACCAAACTCCAAGTTTCTTGAGTATGCAGTGCTTCAATCTCTTCTTGCATAGCTTTATACCAAACATGGACCTTAATGGCAGATTTATAAGTTGCAGGCTCACACAGTGACAAATCAACATAACTGGAATCACTAAGAGTGCTGAGGAAAGCTTTCTTCTTAACAATACCATTCTTGCTCCGAGTTTGCATAGGATGCATATTTAAATGAGCAATAGGCAACATTGGTTGTGGATGATTAGGACTAAACTCAGGATCCACAGGGAGTAAGGAGGAAGAGCTTGCTGAGACAGTAATGGACTGAGGAGATGAAGCATCTGTGGGATTCAAAGTAGAAGAGTCTAGGGTGGAAAGTGTTTGAGGAGGTATGACATATGGTATTGGTGCAGCTGCTAAGGGTAGTGAAGGATGAATATCAGAAGATGCAGGTGATGAGGCACATGCTATGACACACTTAGACTGAGCTAGCAATTGTTGATATGGAAAAATGGATTCATCAAACACAACATGCCGAGATATAAAGATCCTCCCCTTCAAGACATCAAAACAAATAAAGCCTTTATATTTAGAGGCATACCCCAGAAAAACACACTGAGTAGTTTTAGGTTGTAATTTGGAAGTGTTATAGGGCTTTAGTAAAGGAAAACACGAACACCTAAAAACTCTAAGATGAGTAATCACAGGAGATTTACCAAATAGTAACTCAAATGGAGACTTATGATTTAAAACTGGTGTAGGCATCCTATTGATTAAATAGGCAGCAACCTGACAAGCAAAAGACCAAAACTGAGAAGGAAGCTTAGCATATTGCAGCAAGGTAACAGTAGTTTCTATAAGATGCCTATGTTTTCGTTCGGCTAAGCCGTTTTGCTCAGGAGTGTATGGACAAGAAATTTGATGTAACATCCCTTTGACTTTGAGAAAAGCTTGTAGTTTATGACTTATATACTCTCCCCCACCATCTGTTTGTAGTACTTTTATGCGCAAACGGAAGCGAATTATAACAAAGTACCTAATATCCATGTTGTAGGTGAAAGCTAAAACAAACAATCTCAAACTAACACAAGAGATTTACGTGGTTCGGCGTAAAGTCTACTCCACGGGCGAAGCACGGCGATGAATTTCACTAAACAAATGGAGATTACAAAAGAGTGTTTAAACTTTCACAACCCAAATCCCACAAATTACGAACCCTAAACCAAACGAGTAGAGAATCCAAAGCTAACGGAGAAGATTCTCCCAAATTGCTCTCTAACTCACAAACTCACAAATTGACTCTCACCAAATTTGCCAAATGAATGAGTCATGAATTTGCCACACTTATGACTCCAAACAGTGACCTCCATCCAAAACCAAAATAGAGAAAAGCTCTCTAAACCATGATGAGGCACACTAAATACACTAACCCTAAGGTCCTATTTATAGTGCATAGGACTTAGGTTACAATAAGAATCCTAATAGGAAATAAATCCAAATCCTAATCAAATAGGTAATTAACAAAATCTCTTCATCAAGGAAACTAACTAAGAAGTCAAAACCAAACCCAAATAGGACACCAAAACCAAATAGGTAACACAAACCTAATTTATTGCATCATCCTAATTTTGAGCCAAAAACCCAACACTGTTTGCAAAATCTTAATGGTTGCAGAAAACTGAGCTTTAACAAAGGCATAAAAGGAGACAAATGTATCAAAAAAGTCAGATTTATTTATAAGTGGGAACACCCAACAAAATCTAGTACATTCATCAATGATAGTTACATAGAATTTGAAACCATCAATTGAATTATAGGGTGCAGGGCCCCAAAGATCACTGTGTACAACTTCAAAAGGTATTTGATATTGATGAGTACTAGATTGAAAAGGCAATTTTGTAAACTTTCCTTCTAGGCAACTATGACAGACTATTGGTACATCATCCTTGGAACACCTAATATTAGCTTTATTTAGTATAGTAGAAACAATATTATTGGTAGGGTGACCTAACCTACTATGCCAACGAGATGAACTAATGAGCTGTCCCAGATATGCAGAAACCATGATGTTTGGCAAGGGATGGGATGGGATAAAGTCCATTACTGCATAGCCCTTTGTAGAGGATCCTCCCTGTGGCCTTGTCTTGAATCCAAAAACAGAATGCATCAAAAATCAACCAGCAGTTGTTATCAAGACAGATTCTATGCACTGATAATAGATTCTGAGACAATTTGGGCACATAAAACAGAATTTAATTTGATAGGATGAACTGGTGTATGAATAACAGTGCTGCCAACATGAGATACTGTCAAACCTTCTCCATTAGCAGTTTGAACGGTCTCATTGGTTGGATATGGAGAGGCTAAAGACAAGTTACTGAGATCAGTGGTCATGTGATTCGTAGCCCTAGAATCAGCAAGCCAAAGTTGAGGGGAAGGCTGAGAGGAAGATGCCTAAGAAGATGATGAAACCATTGTATGCATGGCTTGCATTGCAGGCTGAGAAGGAAACTGAGGTGCTGAAGGAGCATAGGAATACGGAGCCATGGATGGTTGATGTGGACCAATGTATGAAGGACCCTTATCATTGTAAAAGCAAAACCAAGTTGTGTGGTTATTCTTTCCACAAATCTGACAACTAGATTTATCCACTGTCTTGGAGTGACAAAATGGTGCAGTATGACCATATGCATTACATAACTGACAAAACACAGATTGAGCAAAAGGCACGGCTAGAGATGGACCAAGAACACCGGAAGTAGGGACAAGAGTCTGATTAAAGAACTGTTGTCTTGATGCAGGATACCGATACCCTGGATTGAACTTTCCTTTACCCTTCTGCCTATTATTGGTAAACTGTCTGAAACCACCATTATGACCATTAGATGATCCATTATATGAACTATAAGACACATGACCAGGATGAGATTGAGTATGATAAGAGGAAGACTTAGGTTCAGATATGACATTGGTATTGGCAACCATGGCAGACAAAAACTGAGATGAGACATTGCTCTCCACAATTAGTTCTTCTGCGAGTAATTGAGACCTAAAGTCTTTAAGAGAAATGACACTTTCCCTTCCTCGAATAACACATCGAAAAGTATTGTACTCAAGAGGTAAGCCATTGAGTACCAATATGACAATATCCTCATCAGCAAAGTAAACTCCAGCAGCAGACAAGTAATCTCGAGCCTCCTTAATTTGCTGCAAATATTTAGACACAGAATCTGATCGTTTCTTAATGGTTTGCAGATTTGATTTCATCTGAAATATGCTGGTTCTTGAAACAGTAGAAAACTGTTCTTTCAATCGATTCCAAAGATCACAGGCACTAGAACTTCCAATAACACATGAAATGGAAGCAGGTGATAAAGTTGCACTAATCAGTTGCATCAATGCTCGATCATGCAGTTTCCAAACAACGTATGCATCATTCTCAATTTGAGAAGAAGAATTACCAGATACTATACCAAATTCACTTGAATTAACAAGAAATCGAGGATGACAGAGATTAGAACCATCAACAAACTGCATAATCCCATGACCTTTCTAACAACAATTGCATTTGAAATTGCCAATTCAAGTAATTTGTATCATCAAGCTTAATATTCACAGAAGTAGGAATTGTGGAAATAAGAGCAGTAATTGGAGATTGAAGAATCTGAAGTTGTGATGCAGTTACCATATTCGCAATTTTCGAAGAACAACTTGTCACTTAGACACCAAAACAAACACCTGGTGTGCAGCAAAGATTCAACACAACGTCAAAGATCCCAACTTGCAGCAAACCCTAGAAATGGAGAGAAGAAGAAGAGTGCACTCGTACAGAGAAAGAACACAAGCACGAGTAGCAACAAAGCCGAGAAACGGAGAGAAGAAGACTGGCAATCGTAGAGGTTATATCAATTTGGAGAAGCGAAAGTAATCAGAAGGATCGAACAGAGTAGCGTTAGCTGATCCGGCGATTCATACCATGTTAATATGTATGCAGATATATCAGAAAGAGAATTATCAAGAACTTAGAGAGAGAAAGTAAGAAGAGAGAGAGAGATGAATATCTTGTGTTGAATATTACTTACTCATGAAGTCATTACATTTAGACTTATATAGAAGCTCAAATACATGTAACAAACTAACTAACTAAATGCACAATCTATTGACAAGTGTCATAATCCCACACACTAATATATATCCTAACAGTTTTCACTTTTCACCATGTTGTGATCACCTTGGATAGAAAGAACTATGTGAAACACTCGCAACTGAAGAAGCACCATCTGCATTTAGAGGGTAACATTGGTCGTCGCCGTGGTCATTGAGTTCCATGGTCTTTTCATCTATAAAAGGTGGATTGGTGGGCGCAGGTAGGTGCAGCTCCTTCTTTGTTAGCATCTGCAGCGCCTTTGACATTGTTGGTCGTAAAGAGGAACTCTCTTGGGTGCATAGAAGTCCTATCTGAACCACTCTGAATATCTCATCCTTAACATTGTCATGGCAATTCTGCAACATTAAATTTGGGTCGTACAGTTCCTCTACAGTCCCTGCTTGAAAGTGCTTCCAGGTCTGTTTGGACAAAAAACACAGGAACAACGAAGTAAGAATGGGGATCTACTGTATACTGCAAATTCGAAGATCAAATTGTTTTATGAATGGAAGAAAAGGAAGAATTTATTGGGAAATTTACAATTGTAACTATGCCATCTGAGTACTCTGCAGATTTGCTCCTGTTGTTCTGCCTTCCAGTGATGATCTCCAATATAAGCACTCCGAAGCTATAGACATCTGCCTTTTCTGTCAACTGGCCATGAGCTAGGTATTCTGGAGCCATGTATCCCCTGAGGTAGGTTAGAAACAACGGTAAGCTCAACTTTTTTCAGTCTTATTCATTTATCTTCGCTAAAATAACACGAAATGAATCTACTATAAATAGGCTTACAATGTTCCTGCAATTGCTGTGCTGATGTGACTCTTATCTTCCTCGAAAGACCTGGCCAAACCAAAATCTGCAATTTTAGCACGAAGCCTTGAATCCAAAAGTATATTGCTCGCTTTTATGTCTCTGTGAATGATCCTTGTTTTTGAGTTGTCGTGAAGGTAGGCTAAACCTTCTGCTGTTCCGACAATGATATCATATCTCCTCTCCCAGTTAAGTGTTTTAGCTCTTTCTTGATCTGTCGAAATTTGTTGAAAACATTGAGGGGAATGCAGAAACATGCACATACCACCTAGTTAAGATTTGTATAAATTAGCATAAATCTACGTAATTACCGAAGATGAAGCGGTCAAGACTCCTGTTCGGTAGGTATTCATAGACGAGAAGGCTTTCAGGTCCCGAGCAACTGCAGCCTAACAACCTGACCAAGTTTCTGTGTTCCACGCTGCTTATAATGTTGATTTCATTGTAGAAATCTGCTGCTCTGTGTCTGTTGTTGAAGAAAAGCCTCTTCACTGCAATCTCTCTCCCATCAGCCAGAACTCCCTGCAAGGAGAAACCCCAGTTAGTTTCCGAGTACAGAGGCATCAGACATTTAAGACAAACAAAAGACATGGAGACAAACTACCTTATAAACAGTTCCGAAACCTCCTTGTCCAAGCTTGTTGACAATGTCAAAAGACCCCGTGGCCTTTTCAATTGTTGAGTACTTGAAGTTTAAGCTACTGTCGTTTAGGGTTTTCGCCCACTTCTCTGCATCATATGATCCTGCAAAACCCCGAAATTCTTTAGCAGTCCGGTAATCTCTTACATTTAATATACCATTTTGTCGATCACAGATGTTCTTTTAATTTCACCATTGAAGCAATACAGTCTGATAGCATTGCAGAATTTCTACTAGCTTTTTACCTCTTCTTTTCTTTTGTATATATCTGTGCTTCCAGATATAAAATCCGATGGCTACTCCAACTACCAAAACTACCAAGGAGCTGACAACTGCAACTACTATGACAATAGTGGTACCTGCAACAAAGTTCCGAAGATTAGGCGAGCAAAACTACACACCAGGCTCAGTCTCGAACCACCGAAGCACCCTACCATCCCCTCGCTTAAAGTGATTAAGGGGAATCTATGTTAAATAGAAGGGGTAGAAATTTCATGTACCTCTGGAGCTTCCATTTCCCATTTCCTTGTTGAGAAAATCTCTGTCTGAATACCTCATAAAGCACCCGGTGTACAACGCTCGCCCCTCGGACCAAGGCAAGCATCCCAACATTGATGCAGATGCATTTTCCAAACACTGTCTGCAAGAGCTCTCATCCAAAGTTCTCCAGCAATCAGCCAACACATAAGCTGACTCGTTTGCCATCCCACTCACGCTCACCTCACCCCTTGCATATCCTCGGTTGCTTGGCGCAGACTCAACCGCACGCTTCACAACCTGCCTTGCCGAGGCTCCGAACGCCGAACTCTTCCTCGTGGTGTTCCCACACTCAACACTATCTTCCGATCCTCTAAACTCCTCGTAAAAGCTATAGTTTTCAGACCTCATGAAGCAACCGTCGAGGAAAATCCGACCCCCAGTGTGAGGAAAACATTGGGGAAGCACTGTACGCGCCTCGGCGTAGCATAGCACACAGTCTAGAAGAGAAAGGTCTCCATAGCATTGAGCTAGGCCGTAGTTGGTGTCGGGGCCTGAACCGGTGACTGCCACTCCGAAGCCGGAAGTTTGCATTTGTTCACTGATGTTTGCCATATTGCTGACAAAATTCGGAACAAACACGGTTGTGTTGTGCTCACGTTGGTTGGCGCACATTATTTGGACCGTCTTCGTTCTTGGATCTCCGACAGCCATTCCTAGTAACAGCAGGATCTTCAGCGGAAGCAAATGTTGGGAAAGAATTGAAACGTTGCATTTCTTCATTTTTTTTTGGGATGAATTGGAAGTTTGATTTAATTTGCAGCTGCCTCCATCCAAATTTATATGAAGGAATGTCGTGGAAGAAATAAGGATTGCTGTCAATTGGGCAAATGGGGGAATTAGGAGTTACAGAAGGACATTTGGCACAAAAGTAGCAATGCAACCTGGACGAAAAAGAAAAGATAAAAACAAACTAAAACCAAACTTGGTTTTGAAGTGGATAAATTGCATTGAGATTTAGGCACCGTCCTTAAAGTCAAAAGGGCAGGTCTTGGATTTGGGTTTGTACCCAAAACTTGTAGTATGCAGTCCCAAGTTTCTTCCTTTGTCTTCACATTTTCACAGACAATTTAAACAAGAAACGTTTCTGTAATCAGCCTCCTGAAACTGGAGGTAGACTTACCTACGCCCTCAGATGCCATTGGGACAACTTGAACTGATAATACAGTGTCATGTTCGAAACGATACACAAGACACTATGATATTGATATTGATATTGATACTGATATGAAACAAGACACATTGCTTTTATGGTTGATTTGGGATGAAATCCTAAGTGTAGGTAAGTTCTGACTTTAAAATTGAACGATGATTTTTATGACACGAATATAACGTCATGTTGACACGAATGGTGATATCTCGTAAACAATAAAATATTGTTTGTAAGTTTCTCAAGAGACCCCGATAAGAGTAAACAGTGTAGCCCCTCCCAGAAAAGTTGCCATCTTGAAAATTGGCTTTTGGATGAAATCTACACAAAAGACAAGGCCATGAGGTGAAGACAGCACGGAACATAACAACAAGTGGATCCCACATGGGCCCCACAAGCATTCCCAATTTGGACCCCGCAATTTGGATTGAATGTGAAAGAAGGTCGATTCCAGAGATAAAAGGTCTGCATTGAATTATAGAGGGAGGGAGGAGGTGTGATTCCCTGTAACCCACATAAATATCCAACCAGATGAGACCCCACCAATCCCTACCTACCATCGTCCCATGACCTCCAGCCAGCCCGCCATTGCCATTTGCCACCAACAGCTAACGGTCAACGTCTAAACTGCTAACGTTCTATACTGGTCTCCGGTGACGACTCAAATCAAGATGTTAGGCAGCTAGCTTAATACTGTACTGATATTGTAGAAAATTTAGTGATTAGTACTAATAACATGTCGATACATTTTTTATTCAGCGACAATAATATTAACATATTATCAATGACATATGATCAATCCATTCATAGCAGCTTGCTCGAGAAACATGAGAGCATCGGCAGTCATCAATAGGGGCACCTAGACTGAACAGCTAATAAATGCAAAAATAAAGGATTTTTCCCTACGTCCATATTAGCTGCAGCCAGCAGGGATAGACCGGAGTATAATTGAATTTTTTCGAGTTATATCCTAAATAAAGGGTATGAATTGCAGATAGAAATATGTATATAACTAAACTGTCAAGGAATTCTTACCAGAATTTGGTTCAGAAATCAATCCATGAGAGAAGAAAAGAATGAAGAAGTTGTAGGCAAAGTTTTGAGTGCATGAAAATTGGATTTTTTCCTTAAACACGAGACCTATAAATATTTATGTACACGTACCTTCTGTTTATGCATTGGATCAGTGAAACTATGAGTTTCTGCAGGTGAGGTGAGAAGCTTAATCGAGGACTTCTGGCTTCTGGTTTTTGGCTTTTGGCTTCTGCTGTTGTGAAATGAATTAGCTAGCTAAAGAGAGAAAAGCCAACTCGAAGAAGAATATGTTCAGATGAGAAGTCAAGAATGATCTACGGCTGTACTGGAAAAGTTTCCTCTTTGCTATTCAACTTCAAACTTTCAAATCAAAAGACTGAAGACTGAAGACTGAAGACTGAAGGAGGAGAAATTGCAAACCACGCGGTGTTGGACCGAAAAGCCGACAGCTATATCACACACACACGCAAACATGTATACATATATGTGTATAGGAGGAGGGATAGCTATGTCCGGCAGTAGTTGCTGCATTTGACTGTTGTGAGAAATGAATGTCTCCATTTAACAGTTTTACCCTAATAATAATAATCTCTTGTGATGTGTCTGGGATTAGTTTTCATGGTTAAATAAAGTGAGAGTTGACAATTGAAGCTTTTTGTTTTTTCTTCATAAAATACCAGCTTGGTTTTCATATGCACTACAAACTCGTTTTGGTTTAGTGATATTTGTCTCCGCTGTTGACGTAATATTAAATTTGACTCGCATGCATGACGAGAACGATATATATTTGTGACAAATTTAACATCTAATTGTTAAAGTGCCAATTACAGTTTTATTTTTTTTCGTCCCCAGCAAAATTCAACAAAGGCTGTTAGCTCAGCACAAGTTTGTATGGAAAGATAATGTTCATATTGATGCCTTGTTTTCTACTCATATATAGCTCTTTGGCACAGATGACATATTCAACGTGAAAACAAACCACCCACTGCAATATAAGTCAATAACATTTAGTCTTAATCATCATTCCAAATAATTAACAGATGCACACAAATTAATATCCCGAGGAAATAAAAAAAAAAAAAAAAAACCAAGTGGAGAAGAATGTTGATAATAATAAATAATTGTTGCTATTATTAATGTTATTGCTGTTGTTATATTGTAACTATCTAATAATATATATACATATATATATATACATATATATATATATGTTATAGCAACTGTTGGAAGTTTTGAGACTCTTGTCCCACATTGGGGAAAACAAGATTCCCAAGGGCCTTTACATAGATTTAATGCTTTAATCTAGTAATTACAACATGGGCTATTTGGAAATGAATTGAAGGCTTGGGCCTTATGGTTGTGTGGATTAGACTTGTATAATATAGCCTAAATACAATTAATATTAATTAATCAAGACAAGGGCCTTGGGCCTTGAAATTTAAAATTAATCTAATTCATTAATTTTAATTTTCGGATTAAGTTTTTAATTAATTTATTAATTAAAAACGTTTTGATTAAAAGACACAGCTCTTAGAAAGAGTTGTGTACCTTCAAATACACTGAACATGTATTTGAAAGGGTGTGAAACAGCCTATATATCTGCAATCACAGTTTCCAAATGGATCATCTTTTTCTTGCTCTTTCATTCTGTACGAATTTTCTAGAGAGTAAACACACAAAAAGCAAATTCGCTAGAGTTCTAAAATCTAGTGCGGATTGTAGAATTAGGTAGTTGAATCTTGGTCGAGCAGACGTTATAGAACCACAAGCACATGAGTGGGACGAAAATACTGTTCGAAGGACATAGCTTTTACGCTAGCCTCTACCTTTTGTAATCAAGTTAGTAACATTAATTTCTGTATTTATTGTGTAATTTTCGTTTTGTATAGCAAATATATTTTGGTTAATAAAATATTAGAATTTCTGTTATTTTTGTTTATTTCTAAATTGTTCTCCAACAACAACTTGGTGTTTCAAACCCACCATTGTCATTTAATTTGAATGTTTATCTTTGTTGATGCACAAAACCGGAGGGATCTTGGAACAACATAAATCTGACCGTGAATCTGTAAGAAAGTAAAGAACACAAGATGTATCGTGGTTCACCCCAATGTTTGGGTTACGTCTACACTGATGTTGATATTGTTTCACTTTGAATGGTGAATATACAAGAAGGCTAGAGGCAGTGTGCTCTCTAGCCTATTTTCTGTGTTTGCCCTCTTTGAGATGTTTCCTCTCTTCCCATGGCCTAAACCTTGACCTCCCCTAATGAGGAGAGTGATGAGTCATTTTATAGAATAAGGGCTTCTCACTTATTACATATTTGCCCCTTCATTTATTACATAATTACATTTGAGTCCCCCGAGTATTTATACGAGGTCTAAATACGAAGGCCCTAAATATGGTACAAACAGTAGTCCCCCAAGTCTTCAGTCAAGATAGTCTTTTGGCTGGAGACTTGAAATTCAGTCCATGTGTGGGCTGAAGTAACTAGATGTCGTCTAGAACTGATACTCGATATGAGGGGGTGCTCAATGTGAAATGATGCTCAACTAGAAGTAGCACATGTTGCGAGGCTGCTCGGCTTGTGGCTTATGTTGCCTTGGTTGGCTCGGCTTGTGGCGTTGAAGATGAGGGAGTCCATTTTATAGAATAAGGGCTTGCTTCTCAATACATAAATGATGGGCTAGAGTTGATGCTGGCGGTGATGCGGTTGCTCAGCAGGCGGCGATGCTCTCTAATGATGGTGAGGGAGTCCCTTTTATAGAATAAGGGCTCACTCCTCAATACATAAGTGATGGGTTAGAAGTGATGCTCGCGGCGAGGCGGTTGCTCAGCTGGCGGCGATGCTCTCTAATGAAGGTGAGGGAGTCCCTTTTATAGAATAAGGGTTCGCTTCTCAATACTTAAGTGATGGGCTAATGGTCTCTTTCTAAAGAAGGTGAGGGAGTCCATTTTATAAAATAAGGGTTTGCTCCTCAATACATGAATAATGGGTGCTCTCTAATGAAAGTGAGGGAGTCCCTTTTATAGAATAAGGGTTTGCTCCTCAGTACATAAATAATGGGCTAAGTCCCCTAAGTATTTTTCATGAGGCCCAGTTGCGGAAGCCCAATATATGGTACATAGTGTAGTCCCCCAAATCTTCAGTTAATAGAGTCTGTTGGTTGGAGACTTCAAATTCAATCCATGTATGGGCCGAAGTGTCAGTTGTTCGGAGGCGGTCTTTATATACCATGCACTGAAGCTTTGTAGGTGAAGCTTTGAAAGTGAAGTTTTATAGGTGAGGCTTTGAAAGTGAAGCTTTGAAGCTGGAGCTTTTGTAAATAAGGTTTTGAAGCTAAAGCTTTGTAAATGAGGCTTTCGAAGTCGGAGCTTTTGTAAATGAAGCTTTCGAAGCTGGAGCTCTGTAAATGAAGCTTTTGAAGCTGATTGACATGAGTGATACTCATGAATGTTTATGTATGATTGACATGAGTGATGCTCATGTATGGTGGTGATTGTCATGAGTGATGCTCATGTATGATTCTTTGGATGACGAGTTGTACTTTTGATCACCTGGTTGGTGATAATAACGGCAGGCTGCTGAATAATTTTGGAGTACTGGACGTACTTTTGATTACCTAGTTGGTGATAATAGCGGCATGTTGCCGAATAATTTTGGAGTACTTGACGTACTTTTGATTACCTGGTTAGTGATAAGCAAGTGGGTGTCCGGTCAGACAAGAGATCACCATGAGCACGTGGCTCATCAGTCTATAAGTTGGTAGACTTCTTTAATCAGCAACAATGTTGATCAGTGGATTTAGTTGCTCAATAATTCATGATAATAATTGACAATATAAGTACGACCGTATAATGAATAAATCAAATTGACAAAGTTTGTCAAGGCAAAATATTGTATTACGTGCCTTCTATAAATAAATAATTTATGCAGTCGTGTGGTAAATCACATGTTATATAAATCAATAATGTGATAGTAATCATGTGATATCATAAATAATAATTATATTATTTAATCATAAGTCATCATGATATAAAAATAATAAAATGATTATTTTATAATTAGTCATCATGACAAAAATAATAAGATATTAAATAAACAATGATATTGAGAAAACATAATGATGTTTGCTGAAAAGGAAAAGTAAAACTTATTTTATTTTATTTTTCTTTTGGCAGATGGCAGATGGAATAATAATAGGATTAATAATAGAGTGATGGCAGATTGCAGACGAAATAAAAACTTATCTTTTTAGACAATGGAGTGGGCATCTTCTTTGGTGGTCAACAAAAGTTATCGGTCTTGATAAAGTTCTTATCTCTATTTTTGACGAAATTATGGTCTGCCTCCTTTATTCCTTGCTTTTGCAATGTCACCCATGTGCTCTCGCAGAGGAAAGCTCATGGCTCACAATGTTCTATATAGTTGAGGGCGCTGTAATTCTCCAACAAAACCATCTCTCCATGGAAGTCCTGCCCTGCTCGCTCTCAGCCTGGTTGCTGCTGGGACCTTGTCCCCATCCCAATTCCAACCACAGCAGACCACTGGAATCAGGTGATTCACAATATGAGAGTCAGACGTGTTCCCCATTGAATTACAGAACTGCATCAAGTTATTGAGGTGTGAGAACTTCATTTGATCAGGAAAAGAAAGGTGGAAATCAATTGGGATGTGAAATATCGACGACGAAGAAGGGCTCTGATTATTGGGTTTCTTAGGAGAAACTTTCTTGTCTTTCTACACCCGCCGCCACGGGGATGTTTCTGAGCGTCCCGCCTTTGGTCCAATACTTTTGCAGGTCTTGCAAAAGTACCTAGGTTAGGAGAGGTTGTAGTTGTTGTAGTAGCAAAACTTGGTGTAGGTGGAATCGCACCTAGGGCACTTGAGGGCTTGGCCATGCTGGGGCCTCAACCTCCGCTCGACCAATGGCCTCGAGTACGTTAACATGTCACCGAATAACGCTAGGACGAGTCCATCGGAGAGTCCTCGCGAATCGTTCCTTGTAGCCAGTCAAATGAATCCATGCAAACTTGCAGAGAATTATGACCCATCAAACAAAACTAACCGAACCCAGATGAAAGAGAGAGTGAGAGTGAGAGTGAAGGAAAGAGAGAGATTGTGTCTCTATATGGGTTTTGCAGATCCACGGTGGACAGTGGTGAGGTTGTGAAGGTTTCACGGTGATGAGATAAAAATTTGAGAGAGAATCAACATAGCTTTTCGTGTCTTTTCCCACAGACGGCGCCAAATGTTGATGCACAAAACTGGAGAGGTCTTGGAACAACATAAATCCGACCGTGAATCTGGAAGAAAGTAAAGAACACAAGATGTATCGTGGTTCACCCCAATGTTTGGGCTTCGTCCACACTGATGTTGATATTGTTTCACTCTGAATAGTGAATATACAAGAAGGTTAGATGCAGTGTGCTCTCTAGCCTATTTTTTGTGTTTGCCCTCTCTGAGATGTTTTCTCTCTTCCCATGGTCTAAACCTTGACCTCCCCTAATGAGGAAAGTGATGAGTCATTTTATAGAATAAGGGCTCCTCACTTATTATATATTTGCCCCTTCATTTATTATATAATTATATTTGAGTCCCCCGAATATTTATACGAGGTCTAAATACGGAGGCCCTAAATATGGTACAAACAATCTTAATCAGGGAATTGTTATTGGCACTTTAAAATTCTCATTTTATACTCCAAACTTTCCATATGTAGAAAGAAAAATACACTTGTGAGGAGTGTAGAATGAGATTTTTAGAGTGTCAATAACACTTCCCTATCAATGATTATATTTGTATACATCGCACCAAATTAACCCAGAAGACATATCTAATTAATTTATTGAAAATGAGAGTTTCCCCCTTAAAACTTATTTTCTCTCACTTAAACCCCATCCTCTTTATTTTTTCAGACTTAAACCCCATTTACTAGAGTCCAACTAAGCAAATTTTGTAACATCCCACATCACTTAGGGGAGTGGATCCTGTAAGTTTTATATGTATATTCTCATCTCTACCTAGCACGAGGCCTTTTGAGAGCTCATTGGCTTTGGGTTCCATCAAAACTCCGAGGTTAAGTGAGTTCGTGCGAGAGCAATCCCAGGATGGGTGACCCACTAGGAAGTTCTTGTGTGAGTCACAGAAACAAAACCTTGAAGACATGGTCGGGGCTTAAAGCGGACAATATCGTGTTATGACGGAGTAGAGCCTGGGATGTGGTGAGGGCCCGAGCCGGAATGTGACCATTTGGTATCAGAGCCAATCGCTGGCCAGAAGTGTGGACGTCGGGCCCCTAAGGGGGGTGGATTGTAACATCCCACATTGTCAAGGGGAGTGGATCCTGTAAACCTTATATGTATATTCCCATCTCTACCTAGCACAAGACCTTTTAGGAGCTCATTGGCTTCGGGTTGCATCGGAACTCCAAAATTAGCGAGTTCGTGTGAGAGCAATACCAGGATGGGTGACCTATTGGGAAGTTCTCGTGTGAGTTCCCAAAAACAAAACCGTGAAGGCGTGGTCAGGCTCAAAGCGGACAATATCGTGCTACGGCGGAGTCAAGCCTGAGATGTGGTGGGGGCGCCGGGATGTGACAAATTTCCTTAACAAGCTTGGTATGTTAGTTTTTATAATTCTTGTGTTCCTAAAATACCCTTATAGATTGTACCGTGGGTGAGGGTTTGACTTAAGATTTACAATAAATTTTGTATTTTATTGATTTCAATGCAATTAAATGTCAATTAACCTATTATTTTATTAGGCTTTCTTTTCTCAATTTTTTTTTTACCAACAATTGTTTTATTGTGAAACTAACTTACCTTATTAGCATGCAATATATAATATAAATAAAAATATTATGGTGTTTTACGTTGAAACATGGAAAAATAATTTGTGTCAAAAAAAGTTGTACAAAATAATTGTTGTATTTTTTTTTCATTTCATGGAAAATAATTTACCTATCTATGTTAGTACCCACTTAGAATACAAATACTGTAAAAATAAGTTACCTACCCCATAGGCATGATATTGTAAAGAAAAAAAATATAGGTAAATAGTTTGTATCAAAAGAATGTAGGTCAATTACTTTGTATCAAAAAAATGTAGGTAAATTAGTGAATTTTAAAAGTATAGGTAAATAGTTTGTAATACGTGGTTTTAAATCAGGAGCTCATTGCTCATTGCTCATTGAGCATAATTGAAGGTGAGTAATAATATTTATTGACATATTTAGGGTATTGTGGCATAAGTTGTAAAGATTTTATAATGATAGTTCATTTATTTGCCAACATGACAAACTATTTGAATTTTGGGTTTTATTTGGATGTTTAATATGAGATGAGTTTTTGTCTAAACAATAACAGCTACAAGGGTCTATATCTAAACAACCCATTAATTTATGAACCAGTCTCTTTGCAGAGAAAAATTGCCAGACTAATTATATTTAGCTTTTGTACTTTCCAAATAAATTATAATATGATATTTTATTCCATAAAATTCGATGAATTCAGTGCGGTGCTTGAAAATTGTAGCAGCTGCAGTTTGATCTACATGTGCACCCCAAGAGCTGGCATTGTCATTATTCCTTGATTAACTGTTAATCTTGGACCGTCTTCGTATATGCATACATATATGTGTGTTGGAGGAGGGGTAGCTATCCCCGGTAGTAGTTGGTTCATTTGACTTGTGAGAAATGAATGTCTCCGTTTAACAGTTTTACCCTGTTTAACAGTTTTACCCTAATACTAAATCTCTTGTGATGTATCAATGATTAGTTTTCATGGTTAAATAAAGTGAGAGTTGACAATTGAAGCTTTTATTTTTTATTTTTTATCTTCATAAAATAGCAGCTAGGTTTTCATATACGCACTACAAACTTGTTTTGGTTTAGTGATATTTTTCTCCGCTTAGTTGGTTGACAGAATATTAAATTTGACTCGCATGCATCACGAAAACTATATATATTTGTGACAAATTTAACATCTAACTGTGAAAGTGCCAATTACAGTTTTCTTTTCTTTTTTTTCGTCCCCAGCAAAATTCAACAAAGGCTGTTAGCTCAGCGCAAGTTGCTCTGGAAAGATAATGTTCATATTGATGCCTTGTTTTCTACTCATATATAGCTATTTGGCACTGATGACATATTCAACGTGAAAACAAACCACCCACTGCAATGTAAGTCAATAACATTTAGTCTTAATCATCGTTCCAAATAATTAACAGATGCGCACAAATTATTACCCCGAAGAAATAAAAATAAAAAACCAAGTGGAGAAGAATGTTGGTAATAATAAATCATTGTTGCTATTATTAATGTTATTGCTGTTGTTATATTGTAACCATCTAACATATATATATGTTATAGCACCTTGATGTTTCAAACGCACCATTTGTCATTTAATTTGAATGTTTATCTTAATCAGCATTATCACTAATTGTATTTGTATACAGCGCACCAAATTAACCCCGAAGACATATCTAATTAATTTACGAACCAGTCTCTTTGCAGAGAAAAATTGCCAGACGAATTATATTTAGTTTTTGTGCTTTCCAGATAAATTATAATACGATATTTTATTCCATAAAATTCGATGGATTCAACTCGGTGCTTGAAAATTGTAGGAGCTGCAGTTTGGTTTGCATGTGCACCCCAAGTGCTGGAATTGTCATTATTCCTTGATTAACTGTTAATCTTGAATTATTTTTTGTATTAAATTTGACTTTAGTATGGTTGCTTGTTTCAGTATAATTCTCACCGACATTTGAAAACGCTGGTTCAACCAATTATATATATTAAATTAAAATAAAGAAATAGAGTTTCACTTTCGTAACTTTGATTTTGATTTTATTCGAGAAGTACACCAAAACTGCCTAATACAAACAAAATCTCGAAAAGTTTATTACAAGAAAACTGATAACGTGACATTGTGACAATCGTATCATTTCAAAATAAAAAGATTGCATATCAATAATATAATTCTCTACGTATATTTTACAAAGGGCATTCAGGTCTACTTACCCATGTTGTGAAAACATATAGAAGTTGCACAAAATTTGACTGTAATTAGACTCTAGGAGCTGCGGGGCTGGATCATTTGACATTCACAAGTCTGTAGGAATTGCTTAAGCTCATAGATCATCTGAACTCGCAACATTTACATCGTGGATGATGACAAATACAAAATGTTCATCTCGGCTCAATCCAGCTTTGGGTCATGCTATTCTTGAAGATTGCGTGTTGGACTCCGCGGGCAGTGAATTGAGACTTCCTGAAGGAATTCTCCTGTTGAATTTTGCGGTACCAGAATTGAGAAATGGGGGTTGTGTTGGCTGAGGAATCTCAAGATTTTCGGTAAGCATTTTTACGACTAATGACATTGCCGGCCGCAGCTCTGCTGAAGCTTGCACACAAAGTAACCCTATCTGAAGTAACCGAGATGCTTCTTCATTTTCAAACTTACCTTCTAGGAGTGGATCGACAGCTTCACGTAACCTACAAGTTCCATAAAGATCCCAAGTCTTTATGCAATGAGATAAAAGAAGGTTAAATTATACTGAAAGGGGATGTGAAAATTTGTTCACGAAATATAAATTTAGCAGATATGCAAGAGAAACAATTTTGTTTACCATCTGTAGGATAGAAGTCGAACTTGAAAGGACAGAATTGTTCCTCCTTCCACAGATGACTTCGATGACAAGAACTCCAAAACTGTAAACATCTGCCTTCTCAGTCAACTTGCCACGAACGGCATACTCTGGAGCCATATAACCTCTAAGCAAGAAAATTTAGTATTCTTCTATGTTAGAAACGATAAACAAGTCTTTGGAGCAGAAAATAAAAACGAAAACAGGCAGAGCGCAACTTACAGTGTGCCAGCAATGGCAGTGCTTATGTGAGTTTTATCTTCAGGGAACATTCTAGCAAGTCCGAAATCAGCAATCTTTGCATTGAATTCCTCGTCGAGCAGAATGTTGCTCAGTTTTATATCCCTATGAATGATCCTCAATTTCGATTCTTCGTGAAGATAGGCCAAGCCCTCAGCTGTTCCCAGTATGATTTTATACCTCAAATCCCACCTCAGTGGCTCCACATTGTTTTTCACTGAGAATTCATAGAGGGATGAACTGTAAGAATACGAAAACGGACTGATGATGCTAAAAACCAAATTGTCTTATCGAAAATAGGTTGGAGAAGAGAAAATTACCAATAAAATAATCATGAAGGCTTTGATTTGGGACATACTCATAAACAAGAAGGCTCTCGGGGCCTGTAATGCTGCACCCCAACAGCTTTAAAAGATTTTTATGATGAATTCCGCTGATCAAATTAACTTCGTTGAAGAAATGATCCACCCATTGCCTTGTGTTGAAGAACAGCCTCTTTATGGCAACAACATTTCCACCCGGCAGAACTCCCTGTGTGTAAAATAAATGAAATTCCCGAGTTAATTCCATATAATGAAATCTGATACCTACACAGAACGAAGGGATAAATTACCTTATACACCGAGCCAGATCCTCCTTGTCCAAGCTTGTTGGTATCATGAAAGTAATTTGTGGCCTTCTCGAGAACTTCGTATGAAAAATTGAGTTTGGACTTATTCACAGTGGCAAACAGAGCTCCGAATTGCTTTTTCTCTGAAGCAGCTGTGAAATTAAAACAAGAACACAAATTTAATCCAATGCTTAAAGATAGAACATGTATTCCTTCTCCAATTCATGACTTCTAAGCATGTAATTTGTTGTGTTATTGTATACTTGAAAATGTCACTTAGTATTACGGTCCGGTGGTATTTCTCTTCGCTTAGAAGTGAGAGGTCTTGGGTTCGAATCTTGTGGATATCGAATTTGATACCAAATTAGGCTGCCCAGGCCTCATTGTGTGGTTTAACCAAACTCTCAATCTCCTTTAATGTAAAAATATCGATGTACTAAAAAAAAAAATGTATACTTGAAAAATCAGGAAACAGGTCAATTAAAAAGGGGCTGATCCCATAACTTTTTATCCTTTTCGGTTATCTGATTCATAACGTCATAAAATTTTGAAGAACAAAGTAGTTTATGATTGGTGAGCCCATGTCAGCCTGCACTTTTAATTTGAGTCCATGCATCACTATTGGGTTTAGACTGATATTGCTTATCAACATTGGGCTTACTGTAGAATGGATGACCCATAATTTACCGGATTCCAACTCTCATGAATTGGGCCCTCTTATCTGATCACTGATCTCAGAAGAAGCGTCTTCCCGCCGTTGTTTCAGTAATTGACATGGCTTCGCTTCAGTTACATCTTCCATTCTCAGCTGGTCCGCGCCTACCCATTTCCCGGTTCAGAAGCGGTTCGGTCCTCCACCGAACGCCAGACGCTCTTCAACCGCATTGCCCCTGTCTATGCCAACGTTTGATTCCTCTCCTTTTTTCTTTTTAAATTGTAGTCACTTTTTCTTTCTTTGTTAATAACTTGCATATGGGCACACATAAATTGTGTGAGAAAATTCGTATTTTTGTTTTTGAAATAGAAGGAGAGAGGAAGGGAGTGATAGAGAATGTGGGAGTGTGAATTATTTATTTATTTATTTAATTTTTTTAATTAGAGATATGTTAGGATTACATGTAGGTGAGGTTTTGAAAAAAAAAACAAAATTTGGTTGTGTAAAATTACATTTCTACCCCATATTTCTTATTCATGTTCTGTTTTAATTAGAGGGTTAAACTGGTAATTTTATAGGATTTTGATTGAGTGTTTTATTAATTAGTAGAGATTAATTTGCCTAGATATTTATCTTCTGATTTTTTAAATAATTTTTAGTTAAATGATTTATTGAGCTTGGGTCAGCATCGAATATGGAAAAGAATAGCAGTTTCATTGAGCGGGTAAAACTTAAAATTAACTATTTTTTTGCTCTATTTTTGGTGGAATATATATATGCTTTTTTATCAGGATGTGGAATATATGTGTATATATATATATATATAAAATATGTATGTATATAAAATATATGTATGTATGTATTTGTGTATGTATGTATGTATATTTGGGTCTCTAAATTTCAAGTTTTTGAATTTTGGGTTGCATAGCAAAAATTTGAGAGTGTGTGTTGGATTTGTGCTGTGGAAGTGGGGATTTAGCGTTTCTGATAGCATTTTGTCCATCACAGATGTTCTTTTAATTTCACCATTGAAGCAATGCAATCTGATAGCATTGCAGACTTTCTACTAGCTTTTTACTGTTGTATTGGGATTCCTACTATTGAGAGATTCCTATTATCTTAGGTTTCCTAGTTGAACTTGGCTTCTCTACCCTCCCACTTCCCATATACTTCCATCCCCTTCTATTTGTGCAGTCACAGTTAAGCTACGTCAACATTTTATATTACTATTACTTTTTGTTTTATTATCTCTATAAAAAATCAATATAAAATGTTAACGTGGCTTAACTGTGACCGCAAAAAATAAGAGGGGATGAGAGTGTATGGGAAGTGGGAGGGCAGAAGCCGGGTCCTTCCTAGTTTGGGGTGTATTTCTTGTAATCAATTGTATTTATTCTTTCTTTATTATGTTAGGATTGTATATGATTGTATATATACCTCTGAATGAGAAGAAAAGAAAACACATTGGAAATCATTCTTTCTTCTTGGCACCAGAGCTGAGTTAGAGAAAAACACCGAGCCTTAATTGGGTTGGTATTGCCGTGCTTAGCACACTTTTGTTGTGCCTCTATTCCGGCATGAACAGCGAGCGACTTAACGTCGTTGCTGTTCGAGTTGTTTCATGTCCCTGATTAATTGCAGCGAGCGACTTAGAGTTGTTGCTGCCCAGTTTTCTGTTAGTCCATTCCCTTGTTCCAGATTCCCATCACAACACTGCAGGTTTTGAGTTCTATCAACAGCAAGGTAGATAGCTCAAGAAAAGGCGACTGGTTATGCGATTGTTCCTGCTGCTACTCCAATTACGGTGCAGTCGGATAATTCTAGTTTCAACATTGGTATGGTATTGGATGAGAAGAACTATGATTTATGGGCTCCTCTCATTCAAATTCATATCGCTGGAAGGAAGAAGATGAGGTATCTTTTTGGGCTTCAAGCCTCTTATGTATATGTTCGTCGTGAAGCTGATCGAAATGAAGCAATGAAGATGAAAGTTGACAAGAATGAACCTACTGCCATGCCGACAAAGACTCGTGGATCTTCCTCTTGGTTGGACTGAGCCGGGTCACAAAATTGGCCAGGACAAACTCGCACTAGCCAAACAAGTTGGGACCATTCCCAAGGTAAGTGCCCACACTATGGCATGATAGGACACTCTAAGAGCCGATGCTTTGAGCTGATTGGATATCCCGAGAAATGGGATAAAACCAATGATCCTCGTTGCAACAAATCCCGAGCCTCCATTGTAGAAACCTAGAATGATTCAGATCAAATAGCGAACAAGGCCTCTGTCATGATTGCTGTGGCAGGTAGTAGTGATGGTAAAGCACGAAATATTTCCACTCCTGTTACGAATAATACAAGGATAATTGATTCTGGAGCTACAAAACATATGACTTATGATTTTAAACAAGTTCCATCCCTAAAAACCTCCACACAAACCATGGTCAATGTTGCTAATGGGGATGCCGCCTTGGTTATCGAGGAAGGCACGGTTGCCCTTTCTGATACCATGAAACTTGACATCGTTCTTGTGGTTATCTCTTTAAATTATAATTTGTTATTTGTTGCCCAAATAACCATTGCCCTACAATGTTTGGTTATTTTTTTACCCTATTTTTGTGTTTTTAAGGACATCCAGACATGGATGATGATTGGTTATGGTATTAAACGAGGGAAACTTTATTACTTAGAGTTTACTACCAGGAATTCTGCCCTGCTGACTCAAGCTCTTTCCGTAGGGGATTCTCAAGGGGATACTAATAAAGTTTTGGACATCTGGATATGGCACCGACGCCTTGGGCATGCGTCTTTTGGTTACTTGCATAAGTTATTTCCCAATTTGTTTGTTAAGAACGATGTTTTTCAGTTTAAATGTAATGTTTGTGATTTGGCTAAAAACCATCGAACTTCTTTTCCTCCAAGTTTAAATAAGAGTCCTGTTCTGTTTATGATTGTGCATTCTGATGTGTGGGGTCCCTCGAAAATAGCTACTTTTGGTGGTGCTCACTGGTTTGTCACTTTTATTGATGATTGTACAAGGATGCCTTGGGTTAGTTTGTTAAAGTGAAAAAATGAAGTTAGTTTAGCCTTTCAAAAGTTCCATAAAATTGTTGGTGTGCAGTACAACATGAATATCCAGGTTCTTTTTAGTGACAATGGTGGAGAGTATGTTAATACGGAACTTCGTTCCTTCCTTGATATGCATGGTATTGTTCATCAGACCACGTGCCCGTATACTCCTCAACCATTTGGGGTTGTCGAATGAAAAAATAGACACTTGTTAGAAGTGGTTTGTGCCTCGCTTATTAAGGCACATCTTCCTCTACATTATTGGGGTGAAATACTCACGTCCGCAACTTGTCTTATTAATCGTCTTCCTTCTCGCATTCTAGACTTCCAGACACCGTTTCAGGCCCTTATGGCTCAGACTAGTTGCCCGTCAATTTTGAATCTTCCCCTACAAGTCTTAGGATGCTTTGCTTTTGTTCACCTTTATCCTCCCCAACGGATAGACCCGGCAATTTTTGACACGACACGGTGACACGACATGAAAACAACACGAAAATAACAGGTTTCGGGTCAACACGATAACTTATTGGGTCATTATCGGGTGACACGTTAAGAACCCGTTAATAATGGGTTCTTAACGGGTATACATGCGGGTAACACGTGGGTAACCCGTTTCGACCCGTTAAGAAATAATTTATTTTGATAATTTTAAAGTTTAATTACTAAAAGATTTATTATAAAATACAATAGCCATATTAATATATACAATATATTCTATATTAAATATATAGTTTTGTATTATTATTCTATATAAGTTTTAAAAAAAAGTTTTAGTCATTATTTATTTTTATTATGAGAGTTCCTTATTATCATTACTAGGATAAATTTTACTTAACATGTTGTTGTCCAAAATTAAAATAAACTAATATAGTATTTGTATATGCAAGAACTAAGAAGACATACATACAAGTATGAAAAATATGAAAGAATATATAAACACTCGTGATTCATCATTATTCCTCCACGAGTAGATAATGGTTACACTTACATTATGGTTTAGATTTTTAAAATCCTCCAAACCTTCATGAATAATGTTTTTTATTTGAGGGCAAACTTAATAAAATTAATAATAATTATTGTAGAAGTGTAAAAAAAAAAAAAAAAAAAATACAATCACTCATAGTGACAAACTTTACAACTTTCATAAAGGGGTCAGCTTCGAAATCCAACACTATAATTCATAAACCTTAAATTTATATTTAACCGTCGATTGTCATTTATGCTTTATTCTTCTTACTGAATTTCATTTTTAAAATTTTCTTTTTTGAAAACATGATCAACTGGCGGATGTAAGAAGATGAACGGTTCAGATCTTTGATATCACATTTCGATATTTACGGTTAACTGAAATATGAGTCGATGTCATATAGTTTTTAGAAGGGTAAAGTACAAAAAATTACCTCAACTATTTGTGTCACGACACTTTCATACCTCATCTTTTAAAATTGACAATGTCATACCTCATCTTACCAATTTGTGCCAATGTCATACCTCCGTCAGTTTTTCTGTTAATTTCTCAATTAATTGCTGACGTGGCTTGATCCAGGGCCCATTTTCTATTAAAAAATTATTAAAAACTCAAAAAAATCATTTAATATTTTTTAAATATTAAAATAATAAAGAAAAGTAAATATATAAAAAAAAATAAAAAAAATAAAAAAAAAACCAACAATCAATTCGTTCCCTTCCCCCCTTCTCTCTTTTCTCCCCATCTTCTTTTTCTTCCCCCTTCCTGCAACTTCAACCTAGAAAAAAAAAATCCAATTTGTCTTCCCCGCTCCCCACCCCTTTTTCTCCCCGCACCCAACCTCCCTACCTTCCCACCCACCCTCTACACCCAACCTCGCACCCATTACCTGCAACCCAAAACAAAAAAAAAACAAAAAAATAACCCAGATCTCGTTGAGAACTTGGGTGCGGAGAAAATGGGGGGAATGGATTTTGGGGGAAAAGGGTGGGTACGCGGGGGGGGTATGGACGAACTGGTATCTTTTTTTTTTCCCTTCTCTCTCTTTTTCTTCTTCTTCTGCAGGTTGTGGGGGGCGAGGCACTTTTTTTTGTTTCTTTTCCTTCTTTCTCTTCTTCTTCTGTAGGTTGGGTTGAGGGGGGAGGGACCTTTTTTTTTCTTTTCCTTTTCTCTCTTCTTCTTCTGCAAGTTGGGTGAGGGGGGGGAAGTTTTTTTTTCTTTTCTTTTTTCTGGGTTGCAGCAGGTAGGAAGAAGAGGAAGATAGATGAAGATGGGGGAGAAGAGAGGGGGGAGTTTTGTTTGTTTGTTTGTTTTTTTATTTTTTTTATTTTCTGTCTAGGTTGTAGCAAATAGGGGGAAGAAGAGGAAAAAAGATGAAGAAGATGGGGGAGAAGAGAGAGGGCGCTTGGGGCGTAAGGGACAAATTTTGTTTTGTTTTGTTTTTTTGTTTTTTGTTTTTCTTTTTTCTGGGTTGCAGTAGGTAGGAAGAAGATGAAGGGAGATGAAGATGGGGGAGAAGAGAGAGGGCGCAGGGGGGAAGTTTTGTTTGGTTTTGGTTTTTTTTTCTTTCTAATAATCTTCTTTATTATTTTAATATTTAAAAAATATTAAATGATTTTTTTTTAAATAATTTTTTAATAGAAAATGAGTTCCGAATCAAGCCACGTCAGCAATTAACTAAGAAATTAACAGAAAAACTGACGGAGGTATGACATTGGCACAAATTCGTAAGATGAGGTATGACATTGTCAAATTTAAAAGATGAGGTATGAAAGTGTCGTGACACCAATAGTTGAGGTAGTTTTTTGTACTTTACCCTTTTTAGAAACTTTATAAACATCAAGCAATATTTTCACTAACTGTAAACTCTGAATATAATATCAACGATCCAAACCGTTCATCTTCCTACATCCTCTAATAGATCAAGTTTTCAAAAAAGAAAATAAGAAAATATGAAGAAAAAAAAATAATTGATGAGAACAATGAAGCGTAAATGTAAACAACAATCAACGGTTAAATTTGATCTATGATTTATATGATTATAGTGGCGAATTTCGAAGTTGAGCTCTTCATGAAAGTTGTAAAACTTATCATTACGAGCGTTTATATATTTTTTCTACATTTTTTTTACACTTCTACATTAATTAAAAAACTATTAAAGACTTTAAGTAAGTGAAAATATACTTAAAAGAAAATTACGTTTTTATGTTTTGGATGTGACAATATGGTATGTATATACTTATTTAGTATTATGTTTTTCATTTGATTATTTTTTGGTTTAAAATATATTTTCCTTAACGGGTAACGGGTCGGGTCATATTACTTGTTAATATTATCGGGTCGATTTCGGATCAGGTCATTTTACCCGTTTATTTTAACGGGTGTTACACGACACAACCCGTTAAGATATCGGGTATGACATGAAAACGACACGAACATGGAAAACAGAACACAAATGCTAGGTTTACCAACGGAAAAGTAAACTTGAGCCTCGAGCCATTCGTTGCGTGCTTTTGGGTTATGCCTATACCCAAAAAGGATATCGTTGTTATCATCCTCCAACTAAGAAGATGTTTATAACTCCGGATGTGATTTTCCATGAGAAATAAATGTTTTTTAGTTCCACCGCATCCTCACTTCAGGGGGAGTATCGAGGTGATGAAGTTCGATTTTTTTATTAATTCCATGCGGAGTTTCATGAAGAGTATGTACCACATTTGGAGCCTCTGACCTCGGGTGATTAGTAGGCCACTAAATAACAGCCCACTTACCAGCGACTGATTGAACAACAGCCCACTGATCGGCCAATCGAACAACAGCCAATGAACCAGGAACTAGCCGCTGGCCTCGGGAGAAAGATATGCCCACGTGTTTTGTGCTTGAAAGGGAGCTGCAGCCCATGGTTTTAAATGAAACCGAGCAACAACAACTAGCTCATGATTCTTCCCCAGAAGTTGTCTTAGGTCAGAATATGGACTCGTCTTCTATTAGTATGTATAAACAACCGTCTTTTACACCAGATGCGCCTCCACTTCATCGCCTTCCCGAGAGATATTCCTAAACCCACTCACGAGGCAGATCCTAAGTGTAAACACAAGTATTCCGTGATTAAACCAAATTCTGATTCAAGAGTGAGATATCTATTAAATAATTATGTGTCTACCCATCATATGTCTGAATCAAATAAGTCATTTGTATATCAATTATCTACTGTAGCTATTCCTAACAGTGTGCAGGAAGCCTTAGCGGATTCCCACTGGAAAGATGCAATGAATGAGGAATTGAGGTCGTTGAAGAAGAATGTTATTTGGTAAATAACTTGCCAGCTGGAAAGAAACATGTGGGATGCAAATGGGTTTATACAGTGAAATACAAAGCGGATGGAACAGTAAATCGCTTTAAAGCGAGATTGGTGACGAATGGGTATACATAGAAATATGGCATCAACTACACTAATACATTTGCACTAGTGGCCAAGATCAATTCAGTACGTGTTCTATTGTCCTTAACGGCGAACCTAGATTGGCCGTTGCAACAATTCGACGTAAAAAATGCATTCCTCCATGGAGATCTAACCGAGGAGATTTACATGGACATTCCACCAAGGTGTAATGATTTGGGCATGCGAAAACAAAAGGTATGTAGGCTCAGGAAGTCATTGTATAGATTGAACCAGTCTCCGAGAGCTTGGTTTGGTAGGTTCACTAAGTCCATGAGAGCATTCGGTTATAGGCAGAGTAATTGGGATCACACATTATTCTTGAAATACCAGAACAAAAAGATTACAACTTTCATTGTATATGTGGATGATATGGTGGTTACCGGTAACAACCCTGTTGAGCAAGTGGCCTTACAGAAATATTTGTCCAAGGAATTTGAAATGAAAGATCTCGATTCTTTAAAATATTTTCTTAGGATTGAAATGTCAAGATGCAAGTCCGGGATATTTTTGTCACAAAGGAAGTACATCCTTGACTTGTTGGAAGAAACTGGTATGTCGGCATGCAAGCCGGTGACTACTCCGTTGGCAGAAGGGATGAAGTTGGGTGTTGATCAGAACCAGGTACCCATTGATAAAGGGAGGTACCAAATGTTAGTGGGAAGATTAATGTATTTGGCTCATACTAGGGCGGATCTTGCTCATGCATTAAGTGTAGTTAGTCAATATATGCATCCAGGAGAACAACATATGGGTGCCGTTATGAGAATATTGAGTTACTTGAAAGGAAGTCCAGGTAAAGGAATTTTGTTTCAAAAAAAATGGGCATTTCAGAGTTGAGGGTTATATGGACGCTGACTGGGCAGGATTGACAGATGATAGGAACTCAACATTTGGATATTTCACCTTTGTTGGGGGAAATCTAGTAACATGGAGAAGAAAGAAGCAAAATGTAGTAGCAAGGTCAAGCGCAGAAGTTGAATACAGTGGTATGGCACTTGGTATTTGTGAAATCTTATGGCTTAAGTTTCTGTTACAAGATTTGGGGGTCAAACATACTTAGCCGAAGAAGTTAGTTTGTGACAATAAAGCGGCTCGTGATATTGCTCATAATCCAGTGCAACATGATCGGACCAAACATGTGGAGGTTGACAGGTTCTTTATTAAGGAAAAGTTGGATGGTAAGGTAATTAAGGTTCCTTCCATAAGAACTGAAGACCAAGTAGCGAACATTCTCACTAAGGTGGTTTCTAGCAACGAGGTTTCTAGACAAGTTGGGCATGTGCAACATATGTGCACCAACTTGAGGGGGAGTGTTGACTTGTATTGGGATTCCTACGATTGAGGGATTCCTATTATCTTGGGTTTCCTAGTTTGGGGTGTATTTCATGTAATCAATTGTATTTATTCTTTCTTTATTATGTTAGGATTGTATATGATTCTATATATACCTCTGAATGAGAAGAATAGAAAACACATTGGAAAGCATTCTTTTTTCTTTTACCTCTTCTTTTCTTTTGTATATATCTGTGCTTCCAGATATAAAATCCAATGGCTACTCCAACTACCAAAACTACCAAGGAGCTGACAACTAAAACTACTATGACAATTGTGGTACCTGCAACAAAGTTCGGAAGATTAGGCGAGCAAAACTACACACCAGGCTCAGTCTCGAACCACCGAAGCACCCTACCATCCCCCCGCTTAAAGTGATTAAAGGGAACCTATGTTAAATAGAAGGGGTAGAAATTTCATGTACCTCTGGAGCTTCCATTTCCCATTTCCTTGTTGAGAAAATCTGTGTTTGAATACCTCATGAAGCACCCGGTGTACAACGCTCGCCCCTCGGACCAAGGCAAGCATCCCAACATTGATGCAGATGCATTTTCCAAACACTGTCTGCAAGAGCTCTCATCTAAAGTTCTCCAGCAATCAGCCAACACATAAGCTAACTCATTTTCTATCCCACTCACGCTCACCTCACCCCTTGCATATCCTCGGTTGCTTGGCGCAGACTCAATCGCACGCTTCACAACCTGCCTTGCCGAGTCTCCAAATGCCGAACTCTTCCTCGTCGTGTTCCCACACTTAACCCTGTCTTCCGATCCTCTAAACTCCTCATAAAAGCTATAGTTTTCGGACCTCATGAAGCAACCGTCGAGAAAAATCCGACCCCCAGTGTAAGGAAAACATTGGGGAAACACTGTACGCGCCTCGTCGTAGCATAACACACAGTCTGGAAGAGAAAGGTCTCCGTAGCATTGAGCTAGGCCGTACTCGGTGTCGGGGCCTGAACCTGTGACTGCCACTCCGAAGCCGGAAGTTCGCATTTGTTCACTGATGTTTTCCATCGTGCTGGCAACATTCGGAACAAACACGGTTGTGTTGTGCTCACGTTGGTTGCCGCACATTACTTGGACCGTCTTCGTTCTTGGATCTCCGATAGTCATTCCTAGTAACAGCAGGATCTTCAGGAGAAGCAAATATTGGGAAAGAACTGAAACGTTGCATTTCTTCATTTTTTTTTTGTGATGAATTGGAAGTTTGATTTAATTTGCAGCTGCATCCATCCAAATTTATATGAAGGAATTGATAAACCAAATATTCAGGATCCTTCTCCACGTCAGCAATGCATGGTAAAAGACTCTCCAAGTCAGCTACACAAGTTGGATACTCTTCAAACTCTTCAACAGATAGAAAGGAATCACAATCCTTCCTTATCTAAAACTTCTGTGTAACTTAGTTTTGAATTTCAAATGTAATCAGATGATATGTTTATACTGCAACCAACCTCATCTTGTAATCTCTATATATTGAAGTCCATACCTCACTCATAATTAATTGAGTTGAGTTTTATGCAATCAGTATTTACAACCCTAGCTTAAATTCTTTCAGGAATGTCGTGGAAGAAATAAGGATTGCTGTCAATTGGGCAAATAGGAGAATTAGGAGTTACAGAAGGACAGATGGCACAAAAGTAGCAATACAACTTGTTTTGAAGTGGATAAATTGCAATGAGATTTAGGCTCCTTAAAGTCAAAAGTGCAGGTCTTGGATTTAGGTTTGTACCCAAAAGGCAAAACTTGTTGCAGGGTTTGCAGTTTGCAGTCCCAAGTAACTTCCTGTGTGTTCACATTTTCACAGACAATTTAAACAAGAAACGTTTCTGTGATTAGCCTCCTGAAACTGGAGGTAGACTTACCAACGCCCTCAGATGCCTCTGGGATAACTCGAACTGTTAATACAATGTCATGTTCAAAACGATACACATGACACTATAAGATTAATATTGATATGATATATATTAATATATTATCAATGACATATTGTCGACTGTTTTGCTCGAGAAACATGAGAGTATCGGCAGTCATCAATAGAGACACTTAGACTGAACAGCTAAGAAATGCAAAAATAAAGGATTTTTCCCTACGTCCACATTAGTTGCAGCCAGCAGGAATAGACCGGATTATAATTGAATTTTTTCGATTTATATCCTAAATAAAGGGTATGAATTGCATATAGAAATATGTATATAACTAAACTGTCAAGGAATTCTTACCAGGATTTGGTTCAGAAATCAATCCATGAGAGAAGAAAAGAATGAAGAAGTTGTAGGCAAAGTTTGAGTGCATGAAAATTGGATTTTTTCCTTAAACACGAGACCTATAAATATATATATATATACACGTACCTTTTGTTTTTGCATTGGATCAGTGAAACTATGAGTTCCTGCAAGTGAGGTGAGAAGCTTAATGGAGGACTTCTAGCTTCTGGTTTTTGGCTTTTAGCTTATGCTGTTGTGAAATGAATTAGCAAGCTAAAGAGAGAAAGGCCAACTCGAAGAATTTGGAATATGTTCAGATGAGAAGTCAAAGTGATCTAGGGCTGTACTGGAAAAGTTTCCTATTTGCTATTCAACTTCAAATTTTCAAATCAAAAGACTGAAGACCGAAGACGGAGGGAGGAGAGAGTGGAAACTACGCGGTGTTGGACCGAAAAGCCGACAACAATACACACACACACACACAAATATGAACACACAAATATACTGAAGATTGAAGACGGAGGGAGGAGAAAGTGGAAACTACGCGGTGTTGGACCGAAAAGCCGACAACAATACACACACACACACAAAAATATGAACACACAAATATGAACACATATATGTGTGTAGGAGGAGGGTTATTTTTTTTTACCAAGTCAAGGGTATCCCAAAGGCTTCCTAGGCCCAAGGACTAATCCCTCCGGCGCATGTGAAATGCTCCAACTGTGCATTGCAGCACAGTGCCTGGCCACTTTAACAGCTTTGGGGTTCAAACCTAGGCTGGGGAGCAAACCCAACTAGGCAAGCTTTTTGCAAGTATTCTTTTCATCCTTGATTTAAGGAGATTGGTGTAAGTTTTTTCCTTGTTGTCAACTCCTTGATTTAAGGAGATTGATGTATGTTGAAGTAAGACTACTAGACTAGCCTTTGTGGGGGTGTTTCAAAGAGTTTTTCCCGGATGTCTTTGTGCATTGCAATGTGCACCGAATCCGCCTCTTATGATGTTTTGAATGTGTTTAAAAATAGAGAAATTGAATCACACTATTGCTAACCTATTGTAAGGTACTATTTGAAAAAAAAAACCACAAAAAAATTAATTAATAAAAAAATATACTGTTAAAATGAATTAGCAAGCTAAAGAGAGAAAGGCCAACTCGAAGAATTTGGAATATGTTCAGATGAGAAGTCAAAGTGATCTAGGGCTGTACTGGAAAAGTTTCCTTTTGCTATTCAACTTCAAATTTTCAAATCGAAAGATTGAAGACTGAAGACGGAGGGAGGAGAGAGTGGAAACTACGCGGTGTTGGACCGAAAAGCCGACAGCAATACACACACACACACACACACTATGAACACACAAATATACTGAAGACTGAAGACGGAGGGAGGAGAAAGTGGAAACTACGCGGTGTTGGACCGAAAAGCCGACAGCAATACACACACACACACACACACAAATATGAACACACAAATATGAACACATATATGTGTGTAAGGAGGAGGGTTATTTTTTTTTACCAAGTCAAGGGTATCCCAAAGGCTTCCTAGGCCCAAGGACTAATCCCTCCGGCGCATGTGAAATGCTCGAACTATGTGCATTGCAGCACAGTGCCTGGCCACTTTAACAGCTTCGGGGTTCAAACCTAGGCTTGGGGAGCAAACCCAACTAGGCAAGCTTTTTGCAAGTATTCTTTTCATCCTTGATTTAAGGAGATTGGTGTAAGTTTTTTCCTTGTTGTCAACTCCTTGATTTAAGGAGATTGATGTATGTTGAAGTAAGACTACTAGACTAGCCTTTGTGGGGGTGTTTCAAAGAGTTTTTCCCGGATGTCTTTGTGCATTGCAATGTGCACCGAATCTGCCTCTTATGATGTTTTGAATGTGTTTAAAAATAGAGAAATTGAATCACACTATTGCTAACCTATTGTGAGGTACTATTTGAAGAAAAAAAACCACAAAAAAATTAATTAATAAAAAAATATTGTTAAAATGATGAAAATGCCCCTGCCTTATTTGATGCATTATTTTGGGATGCATTTGAAGTTTTTTGTCTTGGGGCATTTTTGTCCAAATATTTTTTGTTAAAGCTTGGTGACACCAAAATCATTATATATAGACTAACCTCCATGCACGCACTCACGCGCCTGCAGAAGGCTATTTTATAATTACAACGTTCTACGCGCGATTTATACAATTTAAATGTATTTATGTACGTGGATTTGAAAAGTGAATTAAACATCAAAAGAATGAATGTAACCTTATCATATATTTGATGGAAGCAAAATATCTTTGTACACAACATGGTTAGTGCAAAACTCAATTTCACAGGAAACTATTTTCTCATCAGTTCAAATGGGAGTCTAGCGCTTTCTATGGTCTTTAAAGAGATTCTTGGTAAAAACACTCTAGTTCTAGCAAATTGGCCAAATAATATTTCTGCATCAGTTAGATTATTATAAGCTCCATGGTAAGCTAGTCTTGTACATGTTATTTTGTATTGGGATAAGGGTTATACTAAACAATGTTTTCCGTTATCTGATTCATAACTTCCCCATTCAAGTAAGTAGGAGAAAATTTTCATTGTGACCGGAACATGGATGGTACCCCACGTGTTTTTATATAAGTGGTGGAAAATTGTATTTTTTAAGTTATGTTTAGGCCCAAAATAATATTTTGGGCCGAGCTTATAATCATTCTCGGTCCAGTAGCATTTATCTAGAATCTTGTCACGGGCCGTCCACTCAAGATCTGCCGAATCCTGTTACAAGGAGGATTGATTTAGATAAGGGTGAGATGGTCGAATCCTAATGCAACAAGGAGTCTTAAAGCTAAAGATGTTTAGAATTAGGAGATGAATATGGTTCGTTATGGAGCTTGATTCAAAGTCCAATAAGGGTTAGGATTGGCTGAAACCTTCTCAGATTGGGGAATCCTGTAACGAGGAGGATTGATTTAGATAAGGGTGAGGTGGTCGAACCCTAATGCAGCAATGAGTCTTAAAGCTAAAGATGTTTAGAATTAGGAGCTGAATTTGGTTTGTTATGGAGCTTGGTTCAAAGTCCAATAGAGGTTAGGATTGGTTGAAACCTTCTAAGATTGGGTTGAGGAGTTCTAATCCGAATACATTTCTAGTTCGGCTATGAAGGGCGTTGATGAGTTCTCATTTTAGTACATTTCTAGTTCGCGCTATAAATAGAGAAGGGAGTGCATCATTCAAGGCCCTTTCAAATCAACACATAAATTGTTCTGTGCAAAGCTTCTCAACAACCTTGAGATTTTTTTCCTCCTCCCCTTTCTTCTCACCAACACATCTTCAGTTTGGATAAACAACACTGTGAAGGCAACCGGTGACATCTTCAGTTTGGATAAATATCACTGGAGCCATAGAATAAGCTGACCAAGGAGCATCTTCAGTTTGGATAAACAACACTGCTTCGAGACCGACTGGTTATTATCCAAGTCTCGGTATACAAGGATTCTCGAGTCCTTATTGGTAGAGGTCATCTCATCAGCCTTTTCGACGAAGTGAGGTGTTACAGGTTACTAGGTTCGGCACATTGAACGTCGAGTGTTATTTTATGATCGGATATTCACAAGTACATTTTAGAGTTCAGCACTCTGACGGCCAAACCACATTTACAATCAAGACATTTGTCTCTTTCGAGTATTTGTGTCTATATAGCTTGGTGTTAGTTCGATGTACTTAGACTCGAATATAATTACCGAGATCGAACCTGGAGCCGACGATTTGTGAACTTTGCAGAACTAACAGCCTTGTCTTTAGGCTATAGAACCCGAAGGCCGAGACGTGTTCCTTCCTCGACCGCAATCACAAGGTCAAGAAGTCAATAGCACGCCCAACGCCGCATCAACATATTTTACTCCCCGACCGACGAGTTGACATTCCCCACACACAACCGAATGACGTAATTAGCTTATTAGTTACTCGGCCTATGCACCACCACGTAGGCTTAGTAGTTTTTAGGGTCAACAAGTTATTAACTTTTTAACACACATATCTCACCATTTGTATAATGACACATGGTGTACCACTCCGTATTCCGGTCACATTGAAAAATCTTTGTCATAAAATTTTGAACAAAGTAGTTCATGATTGGTGAGCCCATGTCAGCTGCACTTTTAATTTGAGTCCATGCATCACTATTGGGCTCAGACCGATATTGCTTACCAACATTGGGCTTACTTTAGAACAGACGATCCATAATTTACCGGATTCCAACTCTCATGAATTGGGCCCTCTTATCCGATCACTGATCTCAGAAGGAGCGTCTCCCCGTTGTTGTTTCAGTAACGGACACTAACTGACATGGCTTCGCTTCAGTTACATCTTCCATTCTCAGCCGGTCCGCGCCTACCCATTTCCCGGTTCAGACGCAGTCCGGTCCGGTCTTCCACCTAACGCCAGACGCTCTTCAACCGCATTGCCTGTCTACGATAACGTTCGATTCCTCTTCTTTTTATTTTATTTTAAATTGTAGTGTCACTTTTTCTTTCTTTGTTAATAATTAATCTGCCTAAATATTTATCTTCTGTTTTTCTAAATAATTTTTAGTTAAATGATTTATTGAGCTTGGGTCAGCATCGAATATGGAAAAGAATGGCAGTTTCGTTGAGCGGGTAAAACTTAAAATTAACTATTTTTTTGCTCTATTTTTGGTGGAATATATATATGTTTTTTGATCAGGAGGTGGAATATATGTGTGTGTGTGTGTGTGTGTATTTGGGTCTCTGAATTTCAAGTTTTTGAATTTTGGGTTGCAGAGCAAAAATGGGAGAGAGTGTGTTGGATTTGTGCTGTGGAAGTGGGGATTTAGCGTTTCTCTTGTCTGAGAAAGTTGGGTGTAATGGCAAGGTTTGTTCTTTGTTTTAACTTGCTGAAAGATTGGTAAATTAATTTGAATATGAGCTGATGTTTGTGATTGGGATTGTATAATTTGGCTACATTGGCAGGTGATTGGTCTCGATTTCTCGAAAGAGCAGTTGTCAGT